CGTAGTCGATCACCTGTGGTTGTCAGCACCGCTTCGCCCGCCCAAGGGGGGCGCGACGCACCTCGCTGTAGACTTCTGGGCCAGTGGGAGGCACCAGCTGGCCTTGGTGAGAGAAGAGGGCTCGCTTCTTAAGCTTGTGGCCGCGGTTCCCGTAGTGGTCAATCTCGTCGTCAGAGTCGGATTCTGGGGGCTAGTCGTCAGAACGTTACGTCGACAGTGAAGGGCGTCAGAGTGTGTTCGGTCGCGTACCGTAAGCTTTGCGTTTGAGGGCCTTTTTCATAGCGGCCACGGTCTCGGCGAAGAGGATCTGTTGTGTCGCCATTGCGCCGTTGTGCGTCTGCACCTGGTGATGAGCCCAGAGCGATCACGGAGGTCGGTCGGCAGCGAGGACGAGAGAGCCCGTCTTTGGAGAGGGTTTTGGAGTAATGAGAGTAAGATACTCAGTAGAATGCGGTCGGGATGCGATTCGGATCGAAGGACGGTCGAAAGGGAGGCATTTACGTGCTTGAACAACGTGGTGGTGTGGTGTGGGAGAGGTGTAGGACGGGTAGCCCTCAATTTCTGCGCGCAGTCTCTGTGACGAGGCGGGAGGAGAACCACGCGGGCGGCAAGGCTGGCTGTTTGCGCTGCGAGAACCAGTTTCCCATTCCTTCAGGGCACTCTGGGCCCATACACCATGACCGCATCTGGGCCAGTGGCCAATCAGCGACCTCGCTGTCGGCACCCATTTTTCCCGATCCCGAGGTGGTGTGGCCCGGTCGGGTTGGCACCCGCCTGGGCTCAGCGCTCTCCCAGGGGTCCCGCCTGCTGTGAAGTCACTGGGCACGGTGGGCCGGGATCGCTGATTCTGGCTCTGGCGCTGGAATGGAGCTGCGATACCTGTGACAGAGTACTTTACCTCCCGTGCCACCAGAAGAGGACCCATGCCGCGATTCGCAACCGAACGGGGAAGCTTTCTTTGCGCCCAACCTGCTGCTTTGTCTTGTTCGTCCACTCTGACCGTCCACATCTCGGCTCAGCGACAATGCTCCCTTGAGTCTGTCACTGTACATCCCGCGCCGAGGCACCATCGAGAGCTACTGCTGACCCGCGCCAGAGCTTCCGCGACGATCTCCAAGTACCCCTCGATATCCATATCTCGACTGCCCCCTCCTATGAAGACATAGGACCACCAGCAAAATGGACGGATATCCGGTTGGAAGCCTGGACCACAACATCCCACACATCGTTCTCGCCGGCCTGACCTCGGCCCCGGCCAAAGAACTACCACTGAGCGCCGAGCTCCGCGACCAGGCGATTCTGCTGCGATCTGAGCTGCCGAGCCTCGAGACTCCAGATGCCGAAGCACTGACGGACTACATTGTGCGCCAGGACGGGAGGAATCAGCCATGGAACGGCAGAGACAGCGGGAAGCCGTACAAGCTTCGGGTCACCGTCGCTGGTCGGGTACGGCTTACACCGTTCGAATGTGTCCTCTAGACTAACCCTGGGCAGTCCTTCGTCCTTCCTCCACGCCGAGCGAGACTTCCTGATGGTATCGAGGCACCCGAGGGCGTTCCCGTCTTGCACTCGCCCTTCTCGCCCTTGACTCCGGTCTCGCCTCTGTACCCGGACGGACTTATGAACACCGAATGGTTGCAAAAGCACGAGGACATGGTGCCCAGTGTCTACGTTTCTTTCTACACCCTCACTTCTGACCCAACGCTTGCGACGCTCCACGATAACCAACTAAAGACCGACATCAACAACTTGAAGGCCGCCCTCGGTAAGTCAGGCTATAGGACGCGCCTCGCCGTCGTGCTTCTGTCCGACGGCACGGCCTCTTCTTCCATGGTAGACCTCGTTCAAGACCGGCTGGACAACATTCGGAAGGGTGTTGCATTAGATACGAAAACGTTTTTCTATCTATCACCAGGTGACCTGTCCATCGATCTTGAACACACGGTGGATTCCATGCTAGCCGCAGTGTTTCTGCAAGCCCTAGAATACTACAGAGACCTTGGCCGGCACGCGCGGAAGAAGCGCGGTCGTGGAATAGCGCCACAGCCCACGGTGCCCCCTACGAGCACCTCGCAAACACTCTCAGTCCAGGATTGGAACGTGAGGTATGATTTCAAGACGGGCATTTTCGCAGAGTTCCGCCAAGAGATGGATGCGGCCCTGCGCTCGTACGATCAAGCCTATGAGGAGCTCCTGAGCCAGGACGTGATGGATATCATTCCAAGTTGGAGCCCGCGCTGGAACGAAGCTCGCATGCTCGCTGACACCATTGCGATACGCGGCATACGCTGTGTGCTCTGGGGCGCACAAACCACGTCCGCTGTGCGGAGATGGCAAAAGCACCGTGATAGGATAGCCGACTTTGTAGATCGCCGAGGGCGCGGGACAAACAACTACGGCTGGGAGGCATGGGAGTCGAGGTGGGCTGTTGTCATGGCCAACTTGATTGAACGGGTAGATGTGCGCAGTCTCGCGCCGTCTACAAAGACCTTGTACCTCCAACCGGAAAAGGCCGCCGCGGTGGACAAGCTTCAACCGTGGGATATGCTGCATCATACGGGATATTGGTACCGCACTGCTGCAGAGCATCTCGCTGCTCGACGCCGCCTGGCTCGCTCGATTCCTGAATCGGATCGCCGCTCACCAGACACCACTCCAGCATCAGCAGTTGCCAGCAAAGCCTTTACATACGACACGTACATGTGTCCTGATCCCCATGAAGAGTTTCCCCTCCAAGGGATGGGCGTCAACCACTCCCAGCTCATCATTGATCTTTTGATGGCGGCAAGGTCTCAGTTCCAGGCAAGGAGGCAGCACCGGATATCGGCAGAGCTGTCGCTGGAGTGTGCAAAAGAGATGGTGAACCTCAAGGCGTGGAAAGACATTGTCGCAATACTCAGACCGCTATGGGAAGACATGTCGTTCCGGGAAGAGGGCTGGACGAACATCACAGAGGATCTCAGCTGGGTGCTTCGGGCTGCCGCTGCGCACACTGGGAATGCAGAGCTCGTGGTTGCCATTGACTGGGAGCTGATGAACAAGAGTAAGTTCGCTCAATTATGTCGGCCTTCTCGATCTGACTCGTCGCAGGATTTACGCGGCGCCCTAAGTGGCATTACGACATTTCGAGATCGCTGGAGGGTTTGTCCATTGAGTCAAAGCCCACGGTGACAATCAACGACGACATATCATCCTTCATCTCCGCGTCGTTCATCTTCAAGGGCGAGGACGGCAAGGCCGGCGAGACTTGTCAAGCTCAACTGGCAATCAAGTCGGATGCCTTCTCAGATGCAGCGCCCATCACTCTGATAGGGCTGCGAGTCGACTTTGAGGGCAGCCTGAAAACCATCACTCTAGACCACGCAGCTGAGTCCGACGCGACTACAGCGAAGGGCGCCGTTTCCTTGTCGAATGTTCCATTGAAAGAAACCGCTCGCGCTGGAGAAGACGAAGAGGGGGCATCAGTTCTCAGCGGATCTGCCAATCTTACCATCGTGCCTGGCTCTACCAACGTCTTTGAAATGGCAATCCCACTGCGAGAACCCGGTGAGGCTCGAGCCGATTCCGTTACTTTACTCTTGGAAACGGACGCGTTCCGTCTGGAATACACTGTCGATTTCCGAGATCTTGGCGCAGCGGACTTTTGGTTCAGCCCATCTCTCGCGAGGAGAAGAATCGTACGCCAGAGCGCCCACATCATTCAAGTACAACCCCGACCACCAAAAATGGAAATCAAGCTCGCGAAACCATTGGACCAGTTCTACGCAAACGAGCCGATGGAGCTTCTCCTCGATGTCTTCAACGCTGAAGACGAGGAGGCTGTTGCTAAGCTCGAGGTCCATGTTTTTGGCGAGCAGATCCCGGCCTTCCGAGTCCAGGCCGCCGACCAAGACGAACACAAGGCAGAAGCTGGCCAAGAAGAAGCCAAACTTACGGGTCTGCCGCTCGGCACGCTGGGAATATCGCAATCAACTCGTGTCAAGGTCTCGCTCGATCCCATACAGCTGACAACGTCGTATGACGTGACCCTCAGAGTCTTTTACCATCTCGTTTCCGATCCGGCAACACTGGTTATGCAAATCCTTCCCGTCCAACTCAACGTGGTCAACCCTTTTGAAGCAAACTACGACCTCATTCCCCGCCTCCACCCCGACCCCTGGCCCTCCCTCTTCGACCACGAAGGCGTTCAGGATCCAAACATTACTGACGACGCCGCAATCCAGCCCCGAGGCCTGGCCCAAAAGTGGTGCCTGATGTGCCACTTTGCATCTTTTGCCTCCGAAGACCTCGAAATCATCAGCATGGACGCGGAGGTCCTCTCCTGCCAGAATAATGCCCGCTGCACAACAGTTGCCCGCCCAGAGATAGCCGCAGATGGTCTCAGGATAGCACCAAAGCAAATGCAAGAGGCACAGTTCAATCTGGTGGCTCAGAAGTACAGCCTCGACGATCGGGGGCCGGCCTCGCTAGACCTCGCGTTTGTTCTCAAATGGCGCCGCACATCATCGACCTCGTCGACCGTCAACACCACGACGATGCTCGTCCCGCGGTACATCGTCCTCGGCACCGAACCGCGCGTGCTGGCTTCGTACACCCTCGCCAACCCGGCAACCGGACTCGTCAAGCTCAACGTCACCATCGAGAACGCCTCCAGCCACTTCCTCACCTTTGGTCTGAGCATGGAGCCGAGCGACGAATTCGCCTTCTCCGGCGCCAAGCAGACCACAATGCACGTCCTCCCCGTGTCCCGACGGTCGGCGACATACCGCCTCCTGCCGCTCGTCAGAGGCGCCTTCATCCGGCCAAGCCTGGTCGTCAGGGACAAGTACTTCCAAAAGGTTCTCAGAATCATACCCACCGAGGGCATGAAGATCGACAAGGACGGCCTCCTAGTATGGATCCCGCCGGAAGAGGAGGAAGAAAAAGACAGCTAGTCACACGCTTGTATACATACTCTACATCTAAAGAACTCTAAAAAACCGCTCATCTATCGTGACCATTTACATCTTCGCCTTGGGAGGCCGTTCGGGCCGTCCAATCCTCTTCATCCACTCATCCGTGAGAGTGGTCTTCTCCTTTACGCTCAGCGCTGCCCACCTCTCATACTCGTCCTGTTCCCTCCTCCACTCTCCCAGCCCCTTGACGATCCACTCCGCCGTCAACTTGGCACTCGTCCCCGGGATCTCCATGGGAAACAGGTGTCCCGCCTCGGGCAGCGTGACCTCCCTCACCCGCCCTCTCTCCACGCCTCCGCTCCCGCCCGGCCCCGTGCCCGTCAGCCTCATCTTCTCCTCCCTCAGCTCGGGCGTCGACAAATCGCTCCTCCCTCCGAAGACGTACATCGTCCCCGGCCGCAGATGAGGCAGCCTCGCAAGCGTGCTCGCTCCCTCGGAGCGGTACACAGGGAAGGTGTAGTACCGCTCGTTCAGCGACGGGTCCAGGTCGGGCACCAGGTCCGGCTTGACGACCGTCTGCCCCTTGTCGTCGTAGGCATCCCAGCTGGGCCGGAAATACGTAAAGACCTCCTGGTGCTTCGTCGTGGCCAGCGTCACCCCCTGGCCCTCGGGGTACAGCTGCGTCGGCACGTCCCGCAGCCCGTGGCGGACCCAGCTCTCAAAGACCCGCTCGTCCCAGGCCTTGTAAAAGGGGCTCCGCAGGAAGGCCTTCTTCGCCACGTCCCGGGACGGCCAGAGGTCGCGCCGCGAGGCGGAGGCGGCCGCCGGGCTCGCGCCGATGGTGCCCTTTGCGTTGGAGGACCACTTTGAGATGACGGGGTCGAGGAGCACAACGGCGGAGAAGAGGCGGGGGTTGATGAGGGCGACGTTGACGATGGCGTTGCCGCCGAAGGAGTGGCCGACGCCGACGAGGGGCCGCGAGGGCCGCAGGGTGTTGACGACGTGCACGAGGTCGCGCGGGTGGTCGAACCAGCCGGGGTCGTTGCCGAGCTTGCCCTCGTTGAGGACGGAGGAGGCGCCCTGCCACGCGGCGTCGGCGATGATGATTGAGCGGATGCGGAAGTTTGACTTTTTGGACTCGGCATGGAGGTCTTCCCAGAGAGCCTCGTAGAGTTCCTGGGTGCGGTGTCAGCGGTGGTATGATCTCATTTGAATCAAGGAAGTCATGAGATGTGTAGATTCGTGTAGGCTGCTCTTGAATGTTGAGACGATGAGATGAGATTTGGATAAGAGCTACCTTGGGAAACCCGTTGGCGTGGGCGCCGATGATGGTCACATCCCCAGGCTGCGGGTTCGGGTTATCCTTGGGGATGTACTCCTTCACGGCCAGCTTGAGCACATCGTCTTGTGAGTTTGCGAGGGCGCGTGGGAATTCGCGAATGTGTGAGGCGTCGAGGACATGTTCCTTGATGTGGAAGACGGACGAGGGTGACATTGTGGCTTCCGGGCGCCACCAGAACTCTGGCTAGTCAACCTTTACGCGTGGTAGAGGCGTGTCACTTGTCGGGTTGAGATGCTGTAATCGTCTGATGATTGAGATTGATGAGAAAACACCAAAGTTCTCCAAGTAGCGTTCGTTGGAGATGATTCGGAGTTGAAGTTGCTACAACAGACCGAGGGCCCCGGCAACATTGGGACGTCTGGGGAATTCTGGGGGTTCTGTGGAGATGCCGAGGTACCAGCGCCGGCATCCCAGCCTACTACTGTACAGGCCGGGGACAGCCCAAAACACTAATAGAGTAGCCACTCTGCACCTCCCCGAGACAGGAGCGCGGCGGCGGCAGTTATCGTCGGTAAAACCAAATGAAACCGGCAACCGTCGCGCTTCTCTCCTTTTTGCCTGCCTGTATCGCCGTTGGACAGGAACACAAGGAAGGGAACGCGTGTGGATGAGTTGAGTTCCCGAGCACGGCTGGCGTAACCTAGCTGTCAGTCCTGCGCCTGGCGTGGCACGCTCTCCTTTTTCATCTGTTCTTCAGCGTAAGACGGCGGGTGGCCGAAGGGGTTGATGTGAACCTCTGTGTGACTGCCCCTTGAACGCTGCTGCCGCTACAGTCAACGACCAGATTCATAATCTACCCCGCGATCCATGGCAGTGCATGCCCCCCACTCATTCTGCACCTCCACACACATTCCCCCAGCAGCAAACACACACACTTCAACCCCGGAAGCAGACGGCATCCCTCCCCGGCCCTGCATGCCCCGGACCCTAATCTTCGCCGGCGCCCCGGAGGCAGACTGGTCCGCCACCTCCCAACCCGTCCCGACATCCACCTTTACCCCGCCCGGCCCGGCCTGGCGCTCCCTCGCCCTCCACCGCGCGCCCCTCGTGACGGGCTACTCCCAGCACCACGGCCTGCCCTCCGCCTTCCGGCCCCCGGCGCACTTCTTCAGTCTCTCCGTAGACGCCACCACCGCCGAGTCGCAGTCCGTCTCCGCCTCCCAGGAGCTGCTGTCGCAGTTCTATGACCACTCGCTGGCCCTGCACCATGACGTCCCCTCCTCCCAGCTGCCGCTGCCCACGCAATCTCAGTCCCAGTCCCAATCGCAGTCCTTCGAGACGACAGTCACAGACTCCGCGGACTCCTTCGACGACACCACCACAAGCATCCGCCCGCCGGTGACGACATCCCACCACCTCTCCGACCTGGAAGACATCCCCGAGGCGCCCGCCCTGCTCCGCCTCGCCCCGCAGACCGTGACCGTGAACCTCATCGCCGGCGTCATCTCCGTCTCGCCGTCCCGCGCCATCACCACGCGCTGGGGCACCGAGCTGGCCCTCGTCGAGGTCCTCCTCGGCGACGAGACCCGCGCCGGCTTCGGCGTGACCTTCTGGCTGGCCCCCGCGGCGAAAAGCGCGCCCGGGACGACGCTGCCGTCAGAGCTGAGGAGACAGGATGTGGTGCTGATGCAGAATGTCGCGCTGCATGTGTTCCGGGGCAAGGTCTATGGGCAGAGCCTCCGGAAGGGGCTGACGCGGACTACGGTGCTCTACCGGAGGAGGATGGGGGAGGTCGACGAGGGCGGGTACTACAGACGCAAGGATCTGGGGAGCCAAGGGGAGGGGAGGACACATCCGCAGCTGGTCAAGACCAGGAGGGTGTGGGAGTGGGTGCTGAGCTTTGTGGGTGGTGAGGCGAGGACAGAAGGCAAGGGGAAGGGCACGAAGAGAGGATGGGATTTGCCGCCTGATGATACCCAATGAGACTGATTAATAGCAAAGTTTGGATAGACGGTTTTCTTGGATACATAAATCATTAATCGACTCTATGTGTAGTCGTTATTACAATCTCTAGTCTAGGTAGAGTGAGGTCTAGCCCGGGTATCCTCTAAACAACAACGTATATCGTACAGTGATTTTATCCATCTAAACAGCAGCAACTGCGGGCCCCTTGCCCTCCTTCTTGACGCTCTTCCACTGCAAACCCAAGCACGCAACAAAAGCGGCCGCAGCACATGCAACGGTGACGTAGTACGTGTGTCTCAAACCAACCATGTACGACTCCAGAACCGCGTCAATCACGTCCGCACGTCCCATCTGGGTCAAGATGCTGCGGACTTGGTCGGCGCCAGCGTTGATGAAGATGGACGGGTCGAGGTCGGGGACGCGGGTGGCGACCCCGTTGACAAGACCGGTCTGGAACAGACTCTGGGCGACGGCGATCATAATGGCGCCGCCAAACGACTGGAAGAACTGGACGACGGCCGTCGCGACGGGGACCTCTTCGAGAGGGAGCACGGTCTGGACGACGAGGACGCCGATCTGGAAGCCCGCGCCGATGCCGAGGCCCGCGAGGACCTGGTAGCCGAACCACTCACGCATGGGGGTGTCGAGGTCGAAGGTCGTGATCAGGCCGGAGCCGACGGTGAAGAGCACGAGCGAGGGCAGGATGATGGCGCTGTAGTAGCCGATGACGGAGATGAGCGCGCCGCTGGCCATGCTGGCGACGACGGTCGCCAGCAGGAGGGGCAGGATCTTGATGCCGGCCTGGACGGCGCTAACGCCCTGGATTGCCTGGAAGTAGAGTGCTGCATTTGTTAGTTGCTGAAGCGGACAGGCCGTGGACACAACTTACACAGGTAGTAGATGAGAGGGAAGAAGGCGGCGCCGAAGAAGCATGCGAACAGCATGGCGCAGACAACATTGCGGTTCTTGAAGAGATAGGGAGGAAGCGTGCCCTTGTCTCCCTGCCACAGCTGGATTCCGATGAAGATGATGATCATGAGACCGAATCCGACAAAGAGGCCGATGATTTTGGCGCTCTTCCAGGGGTACTCGGCACCTCCCCATTGCAACGCAAGAAGCAGGCAGACGATCGCGGGGATGAAGATGGCCGTGCCGATGAGGTCAAGCTGCATGAGGCGCTGGACGAGCGTCTTTCCCTCCGGGTTGTTCTTGCGGCTCAAGTGAAGCAAGAAGAAGACGAAAACCATGGCGATGCCGCCAATCGGGAGGTTGATGTAGAAGCCTGCGTTGGTGGTCAGTACACGCTCTCTAGAAAACAACCGGCAGGAAATGAGACTTACACCACCGCCAAGTCGCCTTCTCTGTGAATACGCCTCCGAGCAAAGGTCCAGCGACCGACGCAATACCCCACATGCCGCCAATCAAACCGAAGGCAAGAGGTCGCTTCTCCAGGGGCATCGTGTAGCTGAGGATGACAATGGAACCCGAGAACAAGCCGGCCGTGCCAATGCCGGCGACGGCGCGCCCAATAATGAAGGCTGTCGAGTTCGGTGCGAGGGCGCAGACCAGGGAACCAATCTCGAACACGGCAATGGCGGCGATGTAGATGTACTTGACGCTGAACAGCTTATAGACGGTGCCGTACATTGGCTGGAGGGCGGTGGTGGTCAGCAGGTAAGCCGAGCCGTACCAGCCAATGTCCTTGACGCTGCCATATTCCGAGGTGATGGCGCCGAGAGCTGGTGCGATAATGGTCTGGTCGAGGGCGACGAGGAAGACGGCGAGGCAGAGGGCGATGATGATGAGAATGAGCTTCAGACCGTGAGGGTACTCGACCTCATCCTCGCTGGACTGGTGGGTTGAGGGCGCCTTTGCATCGGCAGCGTTGAGGTCGTAGGCAGGCTTCTCGGTGAGGATCGAGGGGTCGGCAGAGGTGGTCTCGCCGAGTCTGTCGTCGCGATGCTTCGTATCCATATTGACGAAGCTTCCCAGTAGCGATAGAAGGTGGGAAGGAAGCTGTCTGTGAGAAAAGGGTGTGAAGGTCAAAGGGGGGGATCACTTATAAGTCGAGACAAGGTTGAAAGGACCTTGGTGGGATCTAACTTTTCGGCGTGCAAAAGGAAAGATCAACCCTGAAAGATGATACAGCAAGAACGGACGAAAGCCAAAAAAAATGACGGCGGGAAGCGGGCGTACTTAACGACCTCGGGCGGTCCCCTACATTGCATCTCAGATCGTGAAAATTCCCAAGTGCAACATCCCATCGGGTAGCAGCGCGGACCAGCACCGACCATGACCAGGCCCCATCCCGATCTGGACGTGTTTGCAAGCCACAGGGATGGTGGGGGATGGTCCAGGCTGCGGACTCACAAAGCACGAGTACATGAAGCCAAGGGCCAACTAGCCGATTAGCATGAGCTTGTCTGCGTTTGGGTGGGTGGAATGTGCCAAAGGGCGGACGAGGGTACGGACAAAAATTGAGGGCCACGCAGGGGTCGGGGTCAGTATCGGATGGAAAAGAAAAATCTGCCCGATTGTCCAGATGGATGATGATGACTACATGGCCGTCGCCGCAGTTACGATCATATTCTGTTACGTGCCAGTGGGATGCTCCAGCTGCAACAACGTGGGCCGGGGCATGTCTGAGTAGTCCGGGGGCCCATGAATCACACGAAAGAAGATTTACGAGTGCTGCAGCGGGAATTCACCATACGGAGTAGAGCGAGTGAGTCTTCGGGAGTTCCAGCCATGTGGTAGTGGGCCGGTAGCGAGGTAAGTCAGACCGCAGGCAAAGGAGCAAGCAATGGCGGCGGAAAAGCCTAGATGTCGGTCGGGCCCTCTCGGAGGTCGGCGTGTAAACATGTCCGACTGACACGGCGCCGTCCCCGGTGATTGGTCGCTTCCATCGCCCTTCGGCCCTCGCACCGCACCTGGTCATTCCACTTTGGGATTTACGACGTCAAGACGCCAAATTGACCAATCCTTCTTTTTTTCAGCTGGGGGAGCACCAAAGGGACTTTGGGGTCCTAGCGGCGGCACCGCAAGCACCTGCTGTGGCTTGCCCATCTAAAGATCTCTTTGGTGCAGAACCTCCGTCGTGACTCATCGGTGGCCCGATGTACTGCCATTTTTCATGTTTGCGGTGCTGAAATCTATCCGACTGAGACGTCCGTGTTTAGTCATGGTGGCTTGACGGGCCCTCGTCGGACGGCGATGAAAGTGTTGCACCGTAGACCGAAGACTCGAATCCCCATCCCACGTCCTTGGATTTGCATCGTGTCACAAACGTGCGCGTCATATAACGCGGATCGACGCGTTGCTGACGCCCAGTCTACGTCTTCCTACTCTATGCTCACGCATCTGTGGCCGCATGCCTCATCGGCGAGATGAGGCTGCGAGAACACCACCACCACCCAACAACTCGGGCGAAACTAGGAGAAGAGCCTACGATGGCTGCAGGGCCTGCGCAACGTCCGCGTCAACCTTTCTGTTACGCACTCCCTGGCTCGGGACGTTTCTCCAGCAGCGGCACTTACACGCGACGTGGCTGACAAAGATTGCCTTGCTCCCACGGCAGCCAGCATCTTAAGCTTATTCACATGGCCATAATGTGTGTGCAAGCAGGATCATAAGACAAGGTTGATCCCGCCGCCATCCATCAACTTGGGGAAACACACCTGACCTTCTGACAAGTTCCGCAGAGGCTAGATTGCGAGTCTGGCGTCCGAGCCAGAGACTAGAAGTTAGGAAAAGGTTCCCTCGCCATCCACTTGAAACGGCCCCCGATGGAACGCGACGACCTGGGATCGACTGATGGACGGGCTAATTGCCTTTAAGCATTTCGGAGATGGAGAGCCTGACTGTAAAAGAACGTGACGTGAGTCTTGGGGCACTGCCTACCTGGGCACCTAGGTAAGGTATTTTAAGGCCCATCCCCGCGGCGTTTCGGCGCCGTTTATGGGGACCACCTCCCGTCAGCCAGTGAGCTTCGGGCTAAGTGCCGCTGTGGATTGAAACAAATCCCTAGGGGGGCAGAACGGCAGCTCTTCAAGGTTTGAAAGTATCGACGCTGGTTGTTTGGGTGAGAAGATACCTGTGGCAGGGCAAGCGAGGCAGAGTGCAGGGTGACGCCTGCAACAGAGCCTCAGCGTCACCCGCCAAGGTTCGCTGTAAATGGCCGTGGATGGGCGCCCTATCTAATCTCGGCGCATCCAAACCATGGAACCCTGCACGTCCGCCCGCACCGCATCGTCGGCCGCGTCTATTCGTATGTCTGCTGCGTCTGCGTCTGCGCTAAACTAACGACCTTTCCAACCTCTGTCCGTAAAGTTGCTGCGTCGACGTCCCCTCGCATGGGCATCTTTTGCCAGTCCACGACAGACAATGCCATTTGCATATCCACCCATCGCCGATAGCTCCTCAATGACCACGCCGAAGCGATAACCGACAGACGAGAGCCCCCAACCGAACGAACGGTCCACCGTTTAAACCCACCTGCCGCCGGATATCGTTCCCCATCCGTCGTGAGCCTGGCCTCCCGACCTCCATTTCGCAGCCATGGACCGCGCCATGATGATGAGGGACATGGAGTACGATGAGAGCGCCATCATGGAGGATGACAGGGACGCCGAGCCTCCCGCCATCGCGGGGACCCCTCAGCGCCTGATACTCGGCCGTTCGCCCTTGTCCAAGACGCGCTCCATGTCCGACGGCGGCACCCCTTCGAAGCTCTCGCCCTCTCCGCACATCGCCGAACGCAATACGTCCAAAGATGATAGCCACATCGGGAACACCGCCACCGCGACCGTGGCGCCTCCCGTCACTCCCCACCGGTCCGAGTTTCCTCTCCGCGGCCTGTCACTGCAGATGCCTGCCAACTCTCCGTCCTCCTCTTCCACCGGCTTCACGAAACCCGCGCCGCTGTCGCCAAAGCTCGACCACTCCCAGATTTACGCGAGCCCGACAAACATACTCCCGCGTCGCTCACGCGGCCTCGACTTCTCCCGTGCCGCGACGAGCCTCCACCACTCAACCCTCGCTGAGTCTTCGCCCGACTCATCGCCCACGATCGGAGGCAGAGGAATGAACATACCCGGCAGGAGAAGCAACGACTACGGACAGGCCGAACAGACGACGAACTCGCTGTGGTCCATGATGGGCAACCACGAGCGCATGACCGTGTCGAGCTCCCTCGGAAGCGCCCACCCGCTCGGGTCGGACTCTTCCTCTTCTTCAGACGACGACGATCTGATGGACGAGGATATGGACGAACCATACGTTGGTACGCCGCAGGCCAACAAGTCTGTGACCCCGATCGGCACTCAGGCTCCCAACGCGCCGTGGATGGGGTCCCCGGCCATGAACAGCCTGATGAGCTTTCAGCAGAGACAACGGGCAAGGAAACAGCCCAAAAAGAAGTACAAGCCGCCGCTCGGTCTTGGGTTTAGTCCCGCAACTGTTGCCGGTCTATCAAAGTCGCCGCCGAGCAATGGACCCAAGGACTTGTCTGCTCACAACCGAAGGGAAAGCATAAGCTGGCAGGCGAACCAACTGCACATATCCGGCAGTGAGGAGGAGCGGGGAGATAACATTGACCACCTCCTGACCACACCCAGCCGCGACGGGCAGCGACCTACCATTATGAAACGCGTAGTCACCCGTCGCGCAAACCTTTTGGTGAGTTGGCTTTCACCCAGTCTGATCTATGTTTACTGACTATGTGTGTAGCCCAAAACGAAGAATTTTGCTCGTATCAGGGCAGCTCTGTTTGAGGAAGGCGCGCCTGTTGAGACGGAGACCCGGCGAGAGGCCGAAGTCGTGCGGCAAGTGCGTGAGAGCGACGTGGACCTCGAGCCGCCCCGTCAGCAAACGGCGCCGGCCACCACCCACTCATCACCAAATCTCGGCACCCAGGAGCCGATGCTGGACGACATCCCCGAGAGCATGATCACTGACTCCGCACTGAACCTTTCAGGCAGCTTCAAGCAGCAGGCCCTAAAGAACTCCAAAGGCACCAAGTTCTGGGACACGTTCTCGGAAGCCAGCAGCGCCGGCACGCGCACAACACCGCCCCCGCCCAGCGGACTCCCTCGGGGCTCTTCCTCGGGCATTAGCGAGGACATATCCATGGACTCGCCCTCTCTCGGGCCGACCGCCGGCTTCGCTATGGCCGCCAGCAGCGGCGAGTCCCAGAAAGGCGACACACCCCTCCTGGCACAAGGGCCGCAGCCGGCGCCCAGCGCAGCCGAGATCACGCGCCGCATCAACAGCAAGCGCAGAAGAGAAGACGACTTTGACCCCGTGAGCTTCAAGCGACGCGCCGTCAGCCCAGGCATGAGCGTGCACAACTCGCCCATCATGCAGAGCCCCATGCAACGGGACGTCGCGCCGTGGGGATCCCGCCCCGGCAGCAACAGCGGAGACCGGGGAGGCTCCGGCGCGCCAAGCGAGTCGGGAAGTCTGGGCGGAACGCCGGGGAGCAACCCCAACGCCAACGGCCGGGTGAACGGCACCAAGGGGCGCGTCGGGTTTCAGGGGATGGTGGACACCAGCGACGGCATGATGCGGATGAGCATCGAGTGACCTGGAGCGGTGTGGGAAGGGAGGCAGGAGCAGAGCTGGTCAGTAGGCGTTTCTTACAGTTCTTTTTTGGGTCGGGGTTGCATTTGAACAAAAGTACGGTGCAGGCGAATCGGTGGTTATTCCATGGAAGGAGCAAGAAATATCCATAGAGCCGTACCCGGCATCACACGGCGGCGCATGAAGTAGGCATATCTAATGACCAGACATTGGTTTTGAACAAGTTGATATTTCGTGGTCGTGGTATCTTTTCCCAACGCCTGTGTACGCCTTTAAATGCTCCCAATGGCAACGAAGAAAGTAAAAACAGGTCCCCCCTCCTAATGTGTAATCATTCACTCCACGCCGACACCCTCCTCCGGGACCCTCAGACTACCCAGCTTATCGTCCAGCCACCTCGCCAGCTCCTCGGCATGCCGCCTCATGACCACGACACCCGCAGTGTTTACGCTTCCGACACTGCCCAGGCTGGCAGTCGTGATGCCGCCCACGCTCAGCACGCTGTCCACCTCGCTCGGCGACGCGGGCATCTGGCTGGGCGTCGCGCCCCCGGACCTCTCGCCGGTCCCGTTGTATCCGCCGTGCGCCGCCAGACCACCTTGCTGCAGCTGTCCGCCGCTGCCGCTCCCCTCCTCGATGTGCTCCGCCAGAGGCCCGATGCACACGAACAGCAGCCCGCATTTCAGCCTCCTGATCACGACGACGCCGGCGGCCAGCTGCACCGTGATCGTCAGCGGCTTCTCCATGGGCGGCGAGGAGGCGGCTGACGGGGAGGAGTGCGAGGTGGGCAGGGCGTCGGGAATGTCCGGGGCCGTGGAGCCATGCAGGGCGAAGAGGGAGGAGGCGACGGTCGACTGGGTGCGGAGGAGGGCGACGGGGTGCGGAGAGGCGTGGGCGAGCAGCCGGCCCGAGGGGGTCGCGAGCAGGGCCGTGTGCAGGTGGGCGTTGAGGTTGGCGGAGAGGAAGGTTGTTAGGCGTTTCGTTAGGAGGAGCGGGGGCGTTGGTTGGTTGAAGGACATGCTGGGCCGTCGTTTGTGTGTGTTTTCGCGTGGTGGTGATGGCTTCGGATGTGTGAGTTTGGTGCCCGACGGTGGGCTAATAGCTGATGTTTGGTGCGTTTCCGACTTGGGTAGTTGGGTCGTCGCGCGTTGTTGGGCTTTGGGTTGTAGTTCGTTGGTGTCAGTCGAGAGCTGAGGTGACACTTGATTGTCGGAGAATCTCGAGCTCGAGCTGTAGCTGGCGAACGTGGCGGGTTGAGGTCGAGATTTGATCCACCGGGCAGTCGGAATCGGAGCTGTGGCAGCCTCCAGTGTTCGTGCACCAGGCAACCTGGAAATTTGGGCTGTGGCGGGGCACACGCCCGACAGCTGCAGCATCATGGAAGAGGTACGTACCGCCCCGGCGGCGGCGGTAGTGTGGCACGTGGGAACGGAGGCCCTGTCATCGGACATCACGGCCCTGGCTGTATTTTAAGAACATTCCTAGTGCTCGGCGTCTACTGCGGGCTACTGCGCTCTACGGTGGTCATGCCGTCCCGTGATGCATTGGACGAACTAGGACGAGCGGGAGGAGCTGAGGTGCACTGAGTCATCCTGCGCTTGAAGCGACTACATGGGTATTTTTTTAGGTTCATTTGCAGACTGAAATAACACGCGGAAGGAAAAATTCAGAACACCAGTTTACGCCTTCGGACCGTTCAACGAGATGAAGCGCCTGCGGAGGTCGTCCATGACGTCCACGTACTCCCGCCCGTCCTCCGTCTTCACCCGCCACTCGCAGTACAGCTTCTGGATCTCGTCGCAGAGCGTCCGCGACTCGGCCGCCGGCCTGACCAGGTCGTAATCCAGGAGAAGCCGCACGGCGAGCTTGAGGTGCTGCGAGTATCCGACTTGCATCAGCGTCTCATCGACGTGGACGTCTGCGCGCTCATCGCACTGGTGAGTACATTCACAGCCCCGAAAGTTGACGTGCTCGCAGCCGCGGCCGACGTGCCGGTTGGTGCCGATGCATTGGATGTCCTGGCATCGGCGGATGTGAACGCAGTCGCAGGTGTCGCACCCGTCGAGCGAGGGGAGGGGGAAGCCGAGCATCATGCGGAAGAGGACAGCGCCGAGGGCCCAATGGTCGTCGCTGATAGTGTACAGGCGTTTGGCCTTGCATGTGTTAGATGGCAAGTCTTCGGACCAGGAGTGATGAGCTTACCACGTCGCCTTTCATGATGTATTCTCTCCACTGCTTCTTCATCTCGGGCAAGCTCATGTGCTCGTCATCAAAAGGCGCCACAGCCCTTCCATCGGAGTTGGGAAAAGGCTTGCTGTCATCATTGATCTTCCTATTGCGACGTGCCGGGGCACCAGATACATACGCACTGCCGAACTTGCCCAGCATGCAGACGCCGTACGTCTCGTCGCCGCGCGGGTGTTGGAAGAAGATACTCTTGCCGTTGATGCCGCGGTGAAGAATGGGCATCCAGTCCAAGTCTTCATGCTCCCAGTGCCCTTGGCCTGTAACCCAATCAATCTCATGGCGACAGCCGTCGTGGAGCCAGACGAGAGCGCGCATGATGGACGTCAGAACGTGCCAGCAGAGCGACTCGGGCATGTGGCAGCCGGGCTCTTTCTCGAACGTCCGGTCCGCGAAGAGGAGCTCCAGCGTGCCGGCATCGCAAATGTCCCATACGAGGTAGTCTTCGGTGGCGTCCACCTGCGAGTGGAAGGGCTTCTGGCGTAGGTAGCCCGCCAGCGAGATGATGTTTTCGTGGTTGAAGATGTGTGCAATGTTGCGCCCGATGTTGCAGTCGTACAGCAAGTCCATCAGGCCCTTGACCTCTCGCTGTCTCTTGGTGGTGAAGCCGGCTGCGTATTTCCCAGCGTCATAGTATTCGTCAAAGTCGTCGACCTTTCGAGCGACAAATTCCTCGCCATCGGCATATCCTAGGTGCTGCGCGAGCCTCCTCGCCAGCCATATGTTGCCCTGGACTTTCTTGACGAGTTGGAAGGTTGGCTGGGGATGGTCTGGGTCGTCCATTGCGGCGTGTTACGTTGGATCGATGAAGACGGGCATCGCGGGTTTGGGGTTTGAGCCGTGGACATATATCATCTTTGGGATCATTGTGGTGATTTGCAACGAGCATGTCTTCCTCGCCATGCTGCGATGACTTGGCAGGGCTACATCTGCATCAATGGCTTGTATCCAATGTGCCAGCCTTCGAACATCACTATGAATGGGGTCATCCAGGCTTCCTGCATCGACACAAAGAGCAGTCAGACATTGTCGTTTGTCGTCCAACGGCTTTCATCTTGGCAGCCCGGAAATAGCCACCCTGTGCGCCCCGTCCGTAATTAGTGTCACGACCGTTGGATGCCGCTCTGCAGCCGCAGCACAGGAAACATCCATCAGGAACATCTTGCGGTCGGACGAACTGCGCGGTAGCCACAATCCCTCAGTCCGCAGCGGCGGCCAAAGCCAGAAACATTTCAAGCCTTCGCGCCCGACGCGCCGCCACTTGGCGAACACGCAGACATGGTCTTTCCCAGAAACATTGTATCTATATCGGCCGCGCCGTTCATTGTCGTTTGTCTCAACAAGATTAGACTGACGATAAAGATAGCCGAATGCCCGGGGTAATCCACGTGCCTCCGGGGCGGGAAAATTGGCATTGGCAAAGCGAAATGGCGTCCTTGTCCCGAAGTGGGAGGTGCCCGGTTTTCTCTGGGCCGTGTTGGCCAAGACCTGCCGTCTGATCCGTGGGTGTTTGCGAGGATCCTCCCTTGGCCCTTGGCCGCGTTGTTTGCGAGGGTTGCGAAGCCCTTCTGAATGTCAGGCTATGCTGGAGAGGGAGGAGGGCGACTGGCAGTGTCGCTATGAATTAGTTCAGCTGAATGACATCGCCGTCCAGGGCTCAATCAATGCGGAGGGGGCGCATAGGCCAAGTCTGAGGTAAAAGAAGCACTTGCGAGGCCAGGTCCCGTCTCCGCGGTGCTCGACATCATGCATACCGTGGTACGGCCAAGGGGACGGCGTTTCATCGAGACTGTCCCGAGGGGAAGCTGAGCAAGTCTGCGGCGAGTTGAGACGGGATTCCCGGCGGGCGCAGATTATCCATTCTGGCTGCAACGAGAAGGACGAGTAAGTTTAACACAGAGACGTCTGAGTTCGACAAGCCACTGGGACAAGTGAGGTGCTCGTGAGAGAGATCTGGACGACGGTCGCTTCTTGGTCGGCCTCGCTCGATTCTGAACGGCGGTACTTTCGTTTCGAAGAGCTGACGTTGCACTCTGCGGGAGTGGTTAGCGACTGGCCGCGCTCATTCAGGACGGTCGAAACAACGCGGCCAGATGGCCCCCAAGTGCGTGGCGTTCCGCCGCTTCGAGAGGCGCAGGACTTGGGTCAATGGTTGGATGGGTTGGGCGGGCGCGTCCGTTGCGCGGCTGATTGTCAAGGTGAGGCCGCGAACCTGTGGCCGTGTTTAATCTCGAACGGAAGTACCGTCTCATACAGAGCACTCGTCCAGTGACAGAGCCTTGCGGCAATACTTTGGAGGCCGTGGTGGACTGGTGGTGCGAGTAAGACGATCCGCCGTTGCTTGGGGGCAGAAACGGCTCTGACAGGCCGACTGATACACTGTCGAAGAGGAAGAGGCAGCCCTGGACGCTGGAGGCTAACAGGGGGAACACACGGTGGAACCCCTTATCAACCCTATATGTGACCCCGGCCAATACGGAGCCAGAACTGGACGGGAAATGGGACCTCAAACGCTCTGATGGTGGCGCTATTCCGATTCGGGACGGCCAGGGCACGGTACCTGCGTTAAAGGCCGCGCTTCAGTCGCTGTTGCTCCACATGCGCCTCGGATGCTCGAAACCGCCAAACTGCTCACGTCCGCCCGGCCCTGTCGCTGCGACCTCAACTCGTCGCAATTATTGGATGCTTTTCCAGAAAGGCCCCCCTTTCCTTCCTCTTTAAGCGTCTCTTGTCATGTCTGGTCCCTCTGGGTCCCCAGAAGTCCCTAGGGCCCCCCCTCTCGCCGATCCCTCTTGAAGGCCTCCACTCCCGTCTTACTCGCCGCTGGTCACGCTCACGCCAACACTCTTCAGTCTCAGTGCTGCCCGTCTCACACTGGACTGGCACTGACACCTCCCGCATTCCTCTTTCGAGCTTCGCGAAGCAGTCCCATGGCCTCGACAGCAAGCCTCGATTGTTCCATCGACCGCCAACATTCCAGTCTCGCGTGAGAACCTCACCGTCCGCTCATTCTGCGCCATTGTCCCTCGCTCGCGATCGATTCGACGATCGTCCGCTCACTCACCAGTCTCGCTACTGTCCACACTGTATCACTCTGCCCTTTTCGACATTCTGATACTCAGCCTTGCAACCCAGCGTGGCCGATCAAACGCGGATATTCGCCCTACCAGCAATAACGCCCACATCACTTACAACATCAACACCAGCGCCCACGACACCGCCCTTCCTCGCTTTCCCTTGTCAATCAAAGCACTTCGGATAGCCCCGATTGACTGATTGACTGATTGACTGATTGACAGCCGGAGCTGACGTTGTCGTCGCGGCTGTTTTCCCTCTCCCTCTTGATCCACCCTCAAACGCCCGGTCGCTCGACTATGCCTTCCTGACGACCCGCGGTCCGAACTCTTGTCTCGCAAAGTCAGCCCTTCGACCCTTGGGCCCACATTCCGTTCTCCCTCTCGTTCAACTTCTCGTCCATTTACCCTTTCACCCGTCCAGTCTCTTGCGTCGACTGGTTTCCTTCCTAGCCCGTCAACACGAAAGCACAGTTGATTACTTCGCGGGCGAGTAACGACGTGTGCAGTCGGCAGGCCCGGATCTACGGTATCACACTCACTCACGACGCCGTTTCCTTTTTTTCCCTTCTTCTTTTTCGACTCGACTGTGTCGAAATTTATCGGTACCTTTTTTCCCCGTCATCAAAATTCGCTTTTAGTTCAAGATGGGGTGCCTCAACCATCGTCGCAAGGGCATCCAGTACAAGGCGGAACAGAAGTGGGATTACATTGTAAGTGCGACCGTGGTCGACGAATAGCTAACGGTGCTAACCAATCGCAGTCTCTGAACGACTTCCGCTCGCGAGGATGCCTGACCCCGTTCGCCTACTTTTACCTCTGGCTCATGCTGTTCATCTCGGTCGCTGTCTACGGTGTCGATATGTTCACGGCCGTCAACCTGCTCGCTTTCGACAAGTGGTCATCCGAAATCGATCCCGCCATCGACTTTAAGATTTCGAAGTGGATCTTTTCCGTCTCCATCATCGCCTCCTTCGTCAACCTCGCCTTTGAGCAGTTCCGGGCTATGCGTGTAATGAAGCGAGGAAACGTTGCTGAATGCTACCTGGACAACATCGCCGTCCGATTGGAGAGTACTCGGATGGGCAAGGGGCAGGGATGGCGACGATTTCTCGTATTCGCCGAGCTCACGAAGAGCAAGAAGGGAGCCGAGTACATCGCTCTGTTCACCTACTTCAGCTTGCAATGTGAGTTACACCGGCGTGTCTCACAAGTGCCTCACTGACATTCACAGCTTGGATTCGCGTCATGGTCTGTTCCGGTCCCCGTCAGGTCGTCAACGCCCTGACGCTCAAATCCGTCTACGACGCCAAGCTTGCCGTTCACGAGGCATCCGTCGAGGGTTCCCTGCTGGGTTTCTTTGAAAAGATTAGGTCTCTTGCTACCGAGGACTACCAGCAGGCCTTGATCCTGTCTGGTATGCTCTTCACCCTCGTCATCTGGGTCTTCTCCGCTCTGTACCTCATCCTCGCTGTCATGTTCTACGTTTTCTTCCTCTGGCACTGGATCCCCAAGGACGACGGTGGCCTTTCCGGATACTGCGAACGCAAGGTCAACAAGGCTCTCACCAAGATCGTCACCGCCAAGGTCAATAAAGCATTTGCCAAACAGGAGGCGGACAGGAAGAAGGCGGAAATGCGGGCAGCCAAGAAGAACGGTGAAAAGATTGCCCCGGAGCGACAGGCCACTCTGCCAACCCTCCCCAACGTGGGCGATCCAGACAAGCTTGCCGAGATGCCCATGTTTGGTCGTAGCGATACCTTCGCAACGCTTCCCCCGTACGAGTCCCGTCCTGGAACCCCCGGCAGCATCGAGCTCGGTGCCATGGATCGTAAGCGGCCCATGCCTCCTTCGAGAATGGGCACCACGACGTCGACTGCCAGCTACTCTTCCAGCGCTCCTCTTGTCGGCGGTGCTGCGGACATGGGCTACCAGCGATCAGCATCCCCTGCTCCCTCTCTCCCGCCCTTGGACCTTAACAACTACCCTCCCGTACGCCCGGGCACCTCGAACTCGCAAAGAAGCTTCCGCCCCGCGCTGTCACACGTGCACACCAACTCGCAAAGTTCGCTGCGAAATATCTCGGAGAGCCCCGCAACCTACTCTCCGGATACGATGCCACCCTTCCCTCCTCCTGCCCGAACCAACACTGGTGGCAGCACCAGAAGCTACAACCAGCGGCCTCCTCCCAGGGCCACCTACGACGACTACTCCAGTCAGTCCAACGGCCGAGCGAGCCCTGCGCCGTCGACCTACTCGACACGCTCTGCGGCCCCTCGTGGTCCCGCGATGAACGGCCCGGGATACCAGGCCTACCAGCCGTACAACGCCAACCCCCAGCGGAGCGCCACCGGCCCCGTTCCCCCTCGCGGCCCGCCCACTGCTCCCACGCGGAACATGACAGCGCCAGTGCCTGTGCGACCGCAGCAGGACTACTTTGCCCGTCCGGGAACGTCTCAGAGCCAGAGACCTCCACGAAACAACCAGGGCTACGGCGGGTACAACGACGACGTGGAGGCTCAACAAGGCCCGCGGTACTGGGGTTCATAGAGGAGCATTGGGTTCGGTTCAAATCAGCATTTTCTTTTCATAATGTCTTTATGATTCCTGGGCGTCCACTTTTTGCAGTTGTCACAGGACGCTTCCATCTTTCGCGAACGGGTTTACAGCCATTCTGCCTATCCAGCCCCCCTTGGGCTTGGCAGACTTGGATCAAAGAGCTTGGACCAAGATCTGGATTCGCTTCTTCCTTACGACTAACCATCCTTTCGATACCCCCGACTTTTACTTCTACCCAGTTCTCAGTGTACCATTAGGAAAAGGGCGTATCCCTCGGCGTCAGCAAGGGTCATGTTCACGGCCGGAAGGGAGAGAGAGAATCGCACTTGTACTTTTGGTAAAATACAACGTTGATGACGATCTGTCGTACGCCTGCCTTCGTGATGACATCCCCTGGTTAAAGCTGCAGGGTCCCCGGAATGCTAGGGTAAGCAGCGGGGCTGAAACCTTAATAATGACCAGTGGTGTAAGCAACTCCAGAGTACGGCGCCAGGGGCGTCAGCGACTTTTCGGGGTCTCTTCGACGTGCTCGGCATGGCGTGCTGCGATGCGCGCCCTTTGAGTGCTTGATTTGTCACCGCCATGTCAACCTCAGATCCCGTGCTGACGAGGAAAATAATTTCATCATCCATGCCTGTAGTCATGGAAGGATTATGCGATGGGCGCGCTTGATCTCATCTAAGGGTCGCAACTGAAAAGGGATTCTTTTGCAGTCCACGGAATAGCTGGATTTTGACGACACACAACTCGGATGAATTACACTCTTCTGCTCAGCAGCCTATTTGCATCAAACTTCATCGCACACGATAGCATATTTTTCGGATCATTCACGAGAATGCCGGCCAGGACGATTGATTGGCACGAGGGCGAGCTCGCGGTGCACAACCTCCTCAAAGTCCCCACCCGCCCGAACCCTACGTCCGCGGGGCTGCCGGCGTCCTACGGGTACCGCATCGCCGCGGCGCCGCTGTTGGCCCTCGGCACGCTCGACAACGAGGGCCGCCCGTGGACAACGCTCTGGGGTGGGAACGCGGGGGCTGTTGCGAGGCCTATTGCGGAGGATGTGCTTGGTGTGCGGAGCAAGGTTGACGTTGCGGATGACCCCGTTATAAGAGCCCTTTGGGGAGGCGAGGAGAGGGAGATCAAAGAGGGCGAGGTTGTGCAACCGGGGGGAGGAGAGGGGAAGGTTGTCTCCGGGCTGGCTATTGACTTGAGCACCAGGGATCGGGTAAAGTTTGGTGGCAAGATGGTTGCTGGTGCTGTTACGACTGTCAATGGCAATGGAGGGGGCGAGTTGCAGATTGCGGTCAAGGTTGACGAGAGCCTCGGCAACTGCCCAAAGTATCTCAACAAGAAGGACGTGAGAGAAAGAGAGTCGCTGGTCAAGGGGCGGGTCGAACGGGGACTGCCGTTATCCGAGGATGCCGCCGCCGTGGTGACACGGGCTGATATGGTCTTCCTATCCAGCGGCACCGGCGAGACCATGGATACAAACCACCGTGGGGGTTCCAAGGGATTCGTGCGAGTTGCGAGGAACGATGACGGGGGCGTGGAGATAATCTACCCGGAATGTGAGTTGCATTCCCCTATTCAACGCAGCATCAGAACGGCCGCTGACAAGCCGTAGTCTCTGGAAACAGGTTATACCAAACCTTGGGCAACTTGAGAGTCAACCCCCGCGTCGGCGTTGCAATACCAGACTTTGACACGTCTGACGTCCTTTACGTAAGTCCCGCCCCAACGCAGCTGTGTCTATCGAAGAAGAAACTAACCAATGCAAGATTACGGGAACGGCGTCGATCCTCGTGGGACAGGACGCGGCAGCCTACCTGCCACGCACCAAGCTGGCGATCAAGATCACCGCGTCTTCGGCCGTCTTTGTCAAGTCTGGTCTGCCCTTCACCGGTGCCCCTCTCGAGCCGTCGCCATACAACCCGCGCATTCGCCATTTGCACACCGAGCAACATCAGCCAGCAGCAGTAGCGTCAGCTGCAGGCACAGCGACGCTCCTGTCCCGTGAAATCATCACACCCACCGTCGCGAAGTTCACGTTTGGGCTGGAGCCGGCCGGGCAGTGGGAGCCTGGGCAGTACGTCACGCTCGACTTTGCCCCGGAGCTGGACGTGGGATGGAGTCACATGCGCGACGACGAGCCGCAGAGCCTGAATGACGACTACGTGCGGACATTCACGGTGTCGAACCAGCGCGGGGCGGGGCAGACGGTGGAGATCACGGCGAGGAAGAAGGGGCCCGTGACGGGTTTCCTCTGGAAGTGGAACACGAGGGTACCGCTGGAGATACCGGTGCTGGGCTTTGGCGGTGAGGAGGCGTTCAGGATGGGGAGGTCGCCAGGTGCTGAAGAAGAGGTCTTCGTTGCGGCGGGCGTGGGGATCACGCCGGTGATGGCCCAGGCAGAGGGGGTACTGCGGTCCGGGCGACGGTTGAAGGTGTTGTGGAGCGTCAAGGGCGAGGACTTGAAGTTTGTCAAGTATGTTCTTGACCGGATTCAGGGGCTTGCTGGAGTTACCAGGCTGTTTGTCACGGGGCGGTTGGGAGACTCAGAAGAGAGCTTGATCGGGGAGATCAAGGCGGCAGAGGCCTCGGTGGAGAGGAGACGCATAGAACAGGGTGATGTAAAGGAAGCTGGTTCTGGAAAGAGGAAGTACTTTCTATGCACTGGGCCCGCAATGTTGAAGACGCTGAACGAGTGGTTGGATGGAGAGGAGGTTGCTTGGGAAGACTTTGCATACTAGACGATTGGCGAGTTGCTCATCCAATAGAAGCTAGGCTTTTGTTTGGTTATCACAAAAGAAACAAAAAAAACATCGCGGTTGCATAGTACTGTCGTACCTATTCATACCAGTGACACGTCCAATGAGGACCTCAATGTCATCGGAACTGGTTCCAGGATTCCCGCTTGAGCACTTTCTTCATCGAGATGCTGACAAAAAAGCGGATTATGTAATACCCCTCTACTCAATGCATGTAACCCACCCAGCTGGCAATCCAGATCAACCAGCTGCAACCAGCCGCAGCTACCAATCGCGATCTCCGTCGACAGCCGCGATGCCACACGTTTTCTCGATGTGCGTCAGTCCCCAGGATTCCCGATTTCCAGATTTCCATGCTGCCGCATCGATGTTCTTGCATCCCCTCGCGACGGGCATGTGCGGCGCATGCGCCAAGCCCGTCTCGTGTTCTAACCGAACGGTTCGCGGTTACGTTACTGGCTGCCCCCCCCGACGCAGTTGACGGCTCCGAGAGACACCCAAAGAGCCCAGTGTTCGTCGAAACACAGCAGGGCGTGGGTTGTGGTTGGTTTGCACGAGGTTGGCCGTCGTTTCGCGGGCTTTGAGAAGTGCGTCGGAGTCAGCCTCAAAGCCGGGAGTGTCTTCGATTGAGACGCCCATCCCCCGACGTCAATCTATCGATGTTGCCCGTCTGCCTTCTGCTGCCAATGCCGTGATGCCAGCACATGGCTGCGTCGACGCATCTAACACACCGGTTGACTCTTGATTCGGTGGGGAATGCTTTACCGATACCCAGCCCAGGCGCCCATCCAGCCCGGCGGATGCGGAGTGCGGATTCGGATGCGATGCGATAGGGGACTCCTCTCCGGGGGCTCACAATCGGGACATCACGATCACGCAGAGACGGTCATTGAATGAGGTGATTGAGGCCATTCTTGGGCCGACCCGCATGCTGTCAAAGTCAACAGACGACGCTGCTCATCCCTGACATTGTCACGCTGGCTCAACGACCAGACTCACCGTACATTTGTCCGCCCTTGTCTCTCGACCGATTTTTTTTTTTTTCAATCGATTCATCAGCACCGAGCAGGCATTAGAGGCTAGGTTCTAGGCCCCTTGCCAACCGAAGCGAGAGGGCGTAGGCTGCAACCAGCCTCCGGCAAGTCGCCAGCTTGCTGGGGGTGGGAATGTGAGCGATCTCGATGTACCAAACACCCATGACACGGACGATTGCTCTCAGCACGCACCACGCCTGCGGATGGACATGTTCATCATTCACAAAGCAGTCATTCTCGAAATTCAATCGTCCCCTTTCCGGCCGGCCGTCCCGATGCTGAAACGCGGACTGGACAAGAATGGATTGCAACTCTGGTCTCTGCTCGACAATGACGATGCAATGGACCCATTTTCAGCTGCGTGACCGACCTCGCAGGCTGTCAGGACAAAGTCTAATGTCTACGGCGCACGCCGTGCAACGGGCAGGGGGGCACGGGACATAGGATGGGCAGGGAATGCCGCGATGGCTGATTCTGAATTCTTCAGAAAAACAGGCCACGCTCGCGGCAGACATACAGCAATCGGCATGGGCAAAAGGTCAAAATTGGGTAAAATGCGCTTCCAGCAGCCAACCCGAGGGACTTTGGGTGGGCTGCAGGGGTCTGTCCAAATCGAGATTGTGGGAAAGCCGTTGCGTCGATCGCCGTGATCGCGGAGCCAAACGCAAATCTGAGCATCGAGGCATCGGATTTCGCTCCGACTCATCACCCACCTCTCTGTTACTGGTGCCCAACACCCACACCGCGTTCGGCGGTCCCCCGTGGGCCACAGGCGCACTCACTCTGCAACAGCTCCAGCAACCATGAGGCCGGCACCAGAGAATGCTACCGAGACACGATCCAAGCCACGAACTGGCCCTGACATGAGCTTAACACGAAGCCATATTCCACCATCCCCGATCGCCGGGACCGCACACCACATCACAGTGATGAGCTGTTAGGCTGCCGTTATGGCTTCTTTCAAACGCCGCTTCCATCAAGGCATGACGCTCGTGGCCGTCACTGCTCACCCCGCAGTCCCCTCTCCGGCTCTCCCACGCCATCAACGGCAAACCCCTTGCAGAGCATGCAAAAGTGGATGGACAGCTGGGCGAACCGTCGACATGGGACCCGTCAGGACACCACCGTTGATGTAATGCCCATTGCCCATCGCTCATCGAACAGCTTGTCCCCTCTCGGATTGGATGAATAGACTCTGCTCTGAGTGGCACCCTGCCCGGCGTCCCGCTCATTGGCCCCAAGTCGTGTATTTCTGCGAAGAAGCTAGGGCGAAGGAGGTTCCTATTAGCCGTCGGACGCTCTTTACCGATCAGCGGGAGACGCAAAGGCAGACGCAGACCCTTACCGCTGGGCCTCCCGTTTACTATCCCCACTCCCACCCTCCCCGATCACTGAGTCTACTGCATCGACTCGCGATCAGCCCAACGACATGAACGATCGCTCCGCTTCCCATGGAACAACGGTATCTGCATTCCCACACCACCAGTAACCGAATTACCACAAGTACCCGTCTCCTGCCTGGTAGTCTCCTATCACACACACAGGCGTATACGCCCATCTCTTGACGTTCTGTAGTCAGCCATCATACTACGTGTTGGCTCTCTCATCCTGCACCGTTGCAATCCCCATAACGACCTGTCACCTTTTCCAATTCTTTTGAGAATTCTATTGCTGGTCTTCCAACCAACAATATCCAGCTTCCTGCCGCCTTCCTGCCAACGCATCCAGCCGCATAATGCAAACCGCCTAATTACCCTGTCACTTCACATCATACTGCCTCGAGGCCCGGCTCCCGCAGCCCGACCCATACGAGACCCCGGACAGTTCCATCGACTTTCACTACCTCATCGCCGCCTTATAATCTCGAATCGTGCTGCCGACCTTCATCATGTCTCGTCAGGAGCTTCAATATCCCGCCGCCTACATCCAAGCCGAAACAGAGCGAATTCTGTCATTTCGAGCGCACTACCAAAATCAAAGCACAATGAACCCGTGGGAATCCTGCGCGTTGCAGGTACGTGGAGCAAGAATCTCGCCAAGCTTTCTGTACTAACTCGCATAGTATCAATTCTCCGAGGAGACGGAACAAAACTCCAAGGGCAAGACGAATTCAGGATGGAGACAACCATCTGCAGCCGCCGACCCCGTCATGTACCCCGGCCTCTACGCTCCTAGTGGATTCGACATGATGAGCATTCTCGTGAGTTTACTCTGGTTTTGCCGCAAGTACCACATCTAACAATACCAGCTCCGCGTTGCCGGCAGACCCAACCCACAAGTGCAACTCGGTGCCATCGACTGTTCCGTCGCCCTGCTCCTCTGCGACCTGGAGCAACCCGACTGCCCCATCGTCTACGCTTCCGAGCACTTCAGCCTACTCACCGGCTACTCCAACAAGGAAATCATGGGCAGGAACTGCCGCTTCCTCCAAGCACCCGGCGGTAAGGTACGGAAGGAGTCATCACGCAAGCACGTCGACAAGTCCACCATCAAGAAAATGAAGAAGGCTGTGGAGGCGAACACCGAGGTTCAGCTCGAGGTACTGAACTTCAAAAAGGACGGCACTCCGTTCGTCAACATCCTCACAATGATCCCCGTCCGATGGGATTCCCCCGGCTTCCGGTACTCTGTCGGCTTCCAGGTGGAGCGGGAGGACTGAACCCTTTTCGGTTCTCGTACACTTCCGACCGTCCGATCTGACTCGACCGGTCGTTCCTATCGTCAAAATTTTTTAACGTCAACATACACGGCGACATTACGACATCTTACGAGCGCGGCATCTTGCTATTAGGCATTTACGATACCCAGACACGCATATGAGCTAGAGCTCAGGCATCTCTCGGTTACGACAACTTTTGATTTTTTTCCTACTCGGCGTCACAAGGAGCGACACACAAAAAAGCGATGCATGGATATCGGATCACTATTAGGTGTTAAGGATATTATCCCCCCGCCTCACTGGAGGTTCATGGGTGGCAGCGTTTTGTTTTACAGACACAAACTCGCAAGCAAGCAAGCATTTGGGAATGGCGTTTGCAATCCCAGTCGGCATCGACCTTGACTGGGTTAGGTGTTGGACAGGAATTTTGACGAACTAGCCATGATATTTTGATCATGACGACATGGGATACATAGCACAAAGGCCCAGGCCGTCCACGAATGAACAAGTATTATTTGAACAGAGATCTAAGCAGCTGCATTGTGCCCTCGGACGCACCGAAACAATAGCTTTCTGCGTTGACAACTAGTTCAGCTGGTCAAATGCCCCCGTGTGTTCTTCTAACCCCTCCTCTGACGGATTGTCCGCGTCATAAAATACCTGCAAGCAAGCTACGTTCGCCAAACCAGCGCTAGCCAAGCAATAGCCGCAACAAGCTTGACTGTCTCATCGCAACCCCGAGGTGCATCTCCCGAGAAGTGACAAAGGATGACTTTCAACTCATCTAGTCCTAAACCACGGTAATGTCTCAGTTGGAGGCGTTCTGTATTACCTAAGCCTACGACATTTCATCCCATATGATTGGCCGCGAAACTGTATATTCGGAAGTCCGATGGCTTCTGAACGTCAGCTTCCATTGCGGATGTTAATTCATACATCTCGTTAATCAAGAATTGTAAGATCCCGAGTAAATCAAGCAGACAAGATGCCTCTCCGCGGACCCGTGCCAGTTAGGTTGTGCAACAAAGAGAACACCGAAAAGCTCGTCCTGGGCCCGATGACCATCTACATCTATGAGGACGGCTCGAACACGGACAACCGCATCGGGTGCATGACGCTGGGACTGCCGCCTGGAACGTCTGGGCCACCGATGCACTGGCATCGATTCCACGATGAGTGCTTCTTCGTGACCAAGGGTGGGTTGTAATTTGAGATATTAGAGAGAGTGTACGCTCACGGCTGGTCCAGGTACGATTCGCTTCAAGACGCCCGAGGGCGATCTCGACGCCAAGGAGGGAGAACTGATGGTCGTTCCGCCGAGAGCAATTCACACGTTTGCCAACCCGTCAGAGACGGAGCCTGCGGAGTTCTTCATGACCTCTACCCCTGGTAAGTTGCTTCCAGTTGTGATATGCTAGAGTGATGCTGACTGAGACAGGGTATTACATGGACTGTGAGTAAAGCGTCCCGGGAGACCGACGGGCAAACTAACTATACAGATTTCCGCATGATGGGCAAGTCCATCGAGGAGGGGAAGAAGTTGTCGCGGGAGAATACGGCGCACTTGATGGCACTGTTCGGGACGTTCCCGCCGGATGTGGAGTCGGAGCCGTGAGGAGTGTAACTTTAATCGATCGCCGGCTCGATAGTTCAATTTCTTAATCGTAGTGACCTTCTTCTGCCAGAATCAACGACCTTCTCCTCCTCCTCCTTTTTGGCCTGCGGGGCTTTGGGTTTTGCCTTGGTTGCTACACCCCGCTGTTTCTTGCTTTGAGCTTCGACAGCCGGCTCTGGAGACTCCTCCTTTACTTTTGGCTTGGAAGGCTTGGCTTTCTTGCTCGGCTTCTCCTCAACCTCCTCCTCCTCCTCCTCCTCCTCTTTTGCCGCCCTCTTTGCCGCCCTCTTTGCCGCCCTCTTCGCCTCCTTCGACTCCTTTGCCGTGACTGCGACCTGGCCCGTCTTCTTCTGCCTTTCCGGCGCGTAACAGCTCGTCCTCCCGCCCACCGTGATGAAAGCCAGCTTCTCCCCATTCGGCAAGACACTGGACACCCCGTCACCCTTGCCCTTGCCCCAGCGATGGTTGAACAGCCAATCGTCGGGGAACTCATCCGAGTCGCCTAGCTTATCGACGGCCGTCTGGCACACGTAGCGGATCTTCTCGTACAGCGTCCGAATCTCCGCTTCCGTAAAGTCGTCGCAGTACTGCTCCGGGTGCAGCTTCGCCTGGTACAGCACCTCGTCGGCGACCCAGTTGCCGATGCCGCTGATGTTGGCCTGGTTCAGCAGCAGCGCCTTGACCGGGACGTGCCGGGACTGCATCATCTGCTTGAAGTAGTCCTCCGTGAAGACGTCGACATCGACGACGGGGTCCGGGCCGTTCTCCTTGAGCGGGGAGTGGTTCCGGATCTCCGCGCCGGGGCAGTCGACGAGTCTGATGCGGCTGAAGCGGCGGGGGTCTGTGAAGGCGGCCCGGACTGTGGGGTCGCCCTCCGTTTCGATCCAGAACTTCCAGTACTTGGGGGGCCAGGTGTCCATTTCGCTCTTCTTCATCTTTTTGTAGTAGTTGGTGTAGGCGGTCTTGTCGCCCTTGATGTGGATCCATCCCGTCATTCCCAAGTGCATCACGGCGTGAGGTGGCCGGTCAAACGTGATCCTGGACGGGTGAGCCAGAGGGCTTATCAGAGGCTGAGCGGGACCTACCAGAAGTATTTTCCCTGGCTCCCAACAGACACAACCTTCTTGCCTTTGACGGCCTCTTCGAAGGCTGGGCCGCTCGTCCCGACCTTTCCAAACACATTGGCGTCACCGGGGGCAGACACTCTGGCAATCTTCTTGCCCAAGAGGTGACGGCGCAAGAAGTGCACGCACCGAGCAACTGAGAGAGTCAGTCTACATTTTTCGCGTTACATGCAAACCAGGCCTCACCTTCAGCGATTTCAGGCATTCTCAACACGCACACTCACTTCGGACACTGAGTACGGATACAGCTCATGACGCGACGACCTCAAAGGGCCCACCGGCGCGACAACCTCGCGTAGCACGTGACCTTCAACAGCTCAAGTGGGTCGTGGCCGACCGCGGGCGTCGGATTTTTCCAGCTCTTCCCCACATTGGGCGGCTCAATTTTTCGTCGACCTTTAAAAAAAAAAAACCTGCGCTTCCTTCTAACCTCACAATCCTTCTTCACTAACAACAACACCTCCAACGGCTTCGCAGCCTTGCATGGTCCGGTAAGTCTACGCTCGCGCGCACGTCGCGCTTTTTCCTTGCCTCCCAGTCTCTTCTGATGACATACCAAACACCGCAAACTAGAGTCTTTGACCACTGGAATGAAAACTCTGTTTTACACGTCAGTCTGATCGACCTTGATAATTTCACATTGCGTTTCGAGCTCGACACCTTGCAACGACACGACGCTGACTCGACGCAGGCTTTTGCAGATTCTTTTGACGCTGGACACATCATGGCTACGTTGCTGTTCTCACATGGCTGATTGCCAAGGTAAGCTCTTGCATTCTTCTCTATTGCCTTCCCAAGAACCTGATGATTCATTTTTTCGTGCTTTGCACGGTTGGAATTACCGGCTGAAATCCATTGACGATAAAAACTGGCTGTTTCTGACTGTTCACCCCTACTGTCTCTTGTTTTGTGCCTCGCGTCGACCTTGACCTGTCGCTAACATGGGCACCAGCTTCCCGACAAGGTACATACCAACCACTTCCCCCTTCCCTCATCATCGTATGATGAAACGGCACTGGGCTCCGAGAGTACCCTATGGGACTCGCTACATGAGCAGACAAGCCACTTTGCGGCAGGCCTAGAAAACCTCGCCCACTGATCCTTGATCCGCACACTCAACTTGTCGGGCCACGACTTTGCGCAGCAGAGGCTGACCAACAACAGTGTCGAAAGTCTTTAGCATCGCCTCTGACTCGAATTGCCGTTCCGGTGTTATCATGGTAGGTCGCTTTTCGCTTCATCCCCTAGCCTTCGTGATGAGTTATTAGATGACGAGTCTGATTTGGGCATCTACCCAATGCGGATAAATTTTATACCTTTCCATTCATGCAACACTGAAATGGCTTCACAAAAACATTTGTTTATCAAGATGAGCATGAACATTGCTGACCTTTCATTCTCAGACTCGCCGGAACAAACACCAATGGGTACGTTCCATCATTATTCATACCCAGCCTCCCGGGCTCCGTTCTCCTGATGAACGATAAACCAAAAGACAAGCATATGTCAGAGCCTCACGGCGAAGCTGAGAAACGTTGACTACCAGTCATTCTGATCAGACACTTCACATGCAACGCCTTTGGAAGTCTGGAGAATGCAGGTGGCTAACCGATCACCAGTGCAGTGATCTCTTGCATGTTCACATTCACGAGCATGTACCACTCGGTAAGCATACACTTTTCCTCTCAGAACCCACTCCCCAGCGTCTCATGTGATGATCATAAAATTTTCACGACGGTCTCCATAGCCATATGCTTTGATGATAGTGCCTTTGACAGGGCTCCGATACTGATATTTGACGCTTCATTTTGTTGTTTTTGAAAGTCGTGGTTTGGAAACAATTGCTAACTGAAGTCGTCCAGGTCTTGACTTTCCTACGGGATCTTGTCTTTTCATTGTATGCGTCGCCCATGTGCGGCGCTATGAAGAAGAGTTGCGGTAGTGAGGCCGTGTGATGGTTCGCATTGCTGCACTCACTGATGTTCCCATGAATCATGAAGCCAAAGACAGATTGTTCTAAGTTCTAAGTTACTATTAGCTATCATTAGGGGTATCATAAGCCATCAGCAACACTATGTGGGCACTGCTGCGTGCCTTTTTTCTGTTTTATCCAAACCCAAACGCCGAACCGATGCCTTCCCATCCCTTCCAGACCCGTCATGTACAGAGTGAGTTAATGTTTTCTAAATGCTTCCCGTTCCGAGTAACACGGCGCCAGCAAAGAATGCCACCAAGGCAGCAAACGAGTCGCGCGGGTCGTGCATGGCACCGCTGCTCTTGGGTGTCGACGTGGCCGTGAACACGCCCGTCAGGACCGTCGTGGAAGACGAAGCGGCAGGCTGTGTCGACGTGGGCGCCTTCGTGGCCAGGGGCCAGTCGCTCTCCGCGCTGTAGAGCACGCCGTTGATGATGGTGCCCTCCCCTTCTCGCAGCATCTTCTTCTGGTCGCTGGAGCAGGAGGACTCCATATAGCGGATCCAGCATGTCGGCTTTGGCGAGTCGGGCAGCTTGTCCGTGTGCGTAGCCTCAGAGTCTCCCGTGGTGTTGTAGGTGGTCAGGTTGACCTGGTCGCCCGTCGACACGGACGTGCCGAGGATGACGCGCGCAAACACCTGGAACGCCGTTTCCGGCTGGTATGCCGGGACGGAGTGGCCGGCCTGATAGATGCGACTGAACGATAAATTGCCAAACTGCCGAACAACACCGCCAATGTAGGAATCGTTGACGATGATGGGGGCGTAGCCAGCGGAACTAAACTTCTGCCCGTACGTGGTCCCGGCCTGCCAGGCGAGGTTGAGAGACGCAGCCTGCCCGCCCAGCCAGTTGCAAATGTAGTCGCGGTCGCCGTAGATTAACGCAACGCGGATGCCTCGCTTCAGGAGATCAGCCAGCTTCGGGATCAGGGGACCTCTCATATAATCGCCAGTGTCACTAAAGCTGCTGTAGACCGCCTGGCTGGTCATGGTGAAGTTGACGACGGAGCCAATGGCTTGCTGGAACCCTGCCGTGTTCACGTACTCGAGGTATGTGCTCGGGGGGAAGGAGTCTGGGTTCTCGCGAGCAATGTCATACCAGCTTCTGCCCGCCTCCGCGTACGGCAGCATGACGTTCGTGAAGCAAGTATTGTATGCGTTTGAACACAGGTCATTCACCTCCCTCACTGCGCCAGTGTTGTTGGCATCGTAGACAGAGTTAGCCGTGCGGCACTGCCGGATGAGGTCCAGGCAGCCATCGTTCGTATAGAGACTACCGTTGGCCAGGCTGGCGCGGACATCGTTCATGGCTTTGAAGCCGTACGTGTTGTTAATAGCCATTTGGGGGTAGTACTCTTGCTGGATCTGGTCGTCGATGCAGCCGTTGACGATGCCGAGAGACGTCAGATGGATCTCGAGCGTCTTGTTAGCGGACAGCGTCCCGTTCGCGCGCTTGTCGTTCTGTTCCTCCCAGACGTCTGAAAAGACCGGCCCGTACTTTCCACCGTAGCTTTCCGCAAAGAGGTTGATGCCGAGCGCGCTGTTGTTTGGCGGGTTGTACTGAGGGAAAGCGCCGAGGAAGCCCTGCAGCATGTGCCATATCGCCATCGCGGCCGTCTCGGTGGTGTTTGCTGTGTTGTTCGTGTTCAGCGAGCTGAATGTGCCGTTGAGGAATGTCGCCGGGTTCTGTCCGCTCGGCACAGGCTGTGGCGGGGTGGACTGATTGGCAGTGAACAGGTCCATCGAGCCATTGGTGGCGATGTCGTAGGAGAAACCGACTTGGTTGGGCTGGGCGGTTAGCATGCGGGTGCGACGAGAGTAGTCGTCGGAGCTTACCTGGTCGATGAACAACATGTTGGAGGCGCGGTCCCAGCCCCATTCCCGCGCAATTGTGTCGTACTTGTCCAGGCCCTTCTCGACAACCTCGCAGGGTCCCACCTCTGTAAACATGCCGAACAGAGAGCTCACGCCGGGCCCTCCGTTGAGCCAAATCGTCATGGTGTCAGTGGGCTCGCGGGCGCCGACGAACCAGAAGAACATGTTGGCCGGGAACGGCCCCGGAACGCTGACCCATCCTGTGTACTGCTGCTGGTTCTCGTAGGCCGTTTTGCAGGCACCCTTGGGGATCTTGTAGCTGACGGTGATGTTGCCGTCGACGGGCGAGGTGATGGTGGTGAGGTTCACCGACGTGGACGGGAACTGGGCAGTCGCAAAGCCGCAGAGCAGGCTGCCGACGGCGAGAGAACGGAAGAAGCGCATTGTGAGATGACCCGCATCGTGTCCTGGGCGCATAGTAGTCTCTACAGGATATCGTGGGCCGGCACGCGCACAGGAGGGGCGTAGAGATGTTTTGAATCGGCGCCGACAATGTTTTTTCTGCATTAGCTGAACCAGGAAGCGCGGAATAGAAACAGCTGCGACGACGGGAATGTCGAGGTTTTGAAGGTCCTCCACCGTAGCGCCTTGGCAGACGTGCGCCCCTGCATTTAGCGGCCCTTTGTTGGTGCAACGGACGCCCACAGTGCTCTACGGAGCCCCGGACACCCAAATTAGCAGCCCACCTCGCCCGACCTCAACCTTCGGGGATACAGGCTGACACGCGGCCCGCGGGGAGTTTTAACGGATCGACAGTGTTAGCAGGGGCTGTGTTCTTATCTTCCACCTTTTAAGCCTAGCTATATCTAATTTATAGAGGTTTACCCTATACTATAAAAATTCTATTTATACTTTAGTAGATACTTATTATATATTATAATATTATTTATAATAATTAAAAAAGCTTTAATCTAAATTTATAAAAATATCATTAATAATTTTAATAGTTTATAAATAACTTACTGTATAAAATTATATAAGAAAAAATATATAAATCTATTCTTTTTCTATTTATTAACTATTTTTAGTAAAATTAGTTTATTATATTTAAACTTATATTAACTAAAATATTAATTATAAAATAAACTAGTAACTAAATAAAAATAAAATATTACTCTATTTAAATAGTAAAAAAAAAGAAATATAAATTTAAATAGTTTATTAATAATATTTTTTTAATATTATAACTAAAGATAATTATAAAATTTACTATAAATATTTTATTTATGTTTTATAAATTACTATATATTTCTTATATTTATAGAATAGTATACTAAATATAAAATATATCTATTTATAGTTCTAATAAATATATTAATAAAATAAAACTTTATAAAAACCTAATAATAAAAAGTTTTAAAAAAATATTAATAAATTAGAAGAAATTTTATAATATAAGGACTATATAAACGAAATAAGTATAGTAATAGTTATTATCTTTTTTAATTACTAAAAGTAAGAAGGAAAAAGTAAAGAGGGAAAGGGAGTAGTTATAAAAGTAGTTTATATACCAGTAGAGTTTCTAAAAAGTACACTTTAATACAATATATCAATCACTTCACAGTAAAAGGGGCTGTGTTCTTGGACTGGAGGTGCTCTGGGGGAGTCGCTGAGGTGAGCAGGAACCTGAGTCGTCGCCCCAACCACCCACCGTACGTGCAACCATCCCCTCTCAATGAGGTGCATTGCAGCCTGCAGCTCATCCTGGAAGTCCCGTATCCTGCCGCCTTACCCGCTGCGATGCCGGGCGTTCGTCTCAAGTAATATGAGGGGGGGAGATGAACTCTCGCCGGGATTGCCTGAGAGAGCGCTGGAAGGATTTGGATTGGACACCGCCAACGAGACTTTTGTTCGACGATGGGATCACCTTGGCATTTGGCAGACGTCAATCGAATCCTTCAAAAGTCAATTGCCGGCATCGGACGGTCCGCAGAGGCATCTGCGCTTGATGTCGGTGATCCGACTTGCATGCGACCGCCCCGAATAGGGCGCTGGGTACGATAATCATCTGCGACATCCCCGCAATTTGACTGGAATTCTGCACTTGATCGGGAGGCATTGGCTGTCTCGGTGATCGAGCATGTAGCCTGCTTGTCTCGATTTCTGCACTTATTGCAGGCTCTCATGGAAGAGATGAACCACATACTCAGGCGTGCTCCAACCATAAGATGAAGATGATAGCAGGCCGTCAAAAGGAGGTATGATTATGCTTGTATACAACCAACAGATGAAGAAGAACCGACCCGTGTGGTTTCTCATCTCAACACTGATTTAAGACAGTCTCAATCAACCTTCTCCTTCCAAGCTTGGTACTGAAGAGGCACATAAACTGCTGCAAATGCTGCAAGCAAAGCCCCCAAGCCAAAGCCCGAAGAGTCATCAGCCTTAAATGCAAGATAAATGGCCACGTTTACCCAGATAATCACGAGGGACACAAGCAGAAGAGAGAAAACCAGGTACCAGTTAAGGCACTCGTGAATCCGGATGCCCCAACCGACGACAATCCCATTGTCGTCTTCATGGCGTTCCAATCGGCCTTGAAGCTTTTTTGGAAACCTTGTGACCCAGTACTTGGTGCGGTGACGCCGATCAGGTCGCGTTAGATGCGGCAAGTCGATCCCATCTATCGCAACATCCATTGGCACTGGATTATATAAGTACCTTTTCCCTTCAACTTCGACATATGGGGGGTACTCCCCATATTTGAAATGTTGTGGATTGTTAGACTCGTCTCCCATAGGCACAAGTTCGAACTTTTCGTGGTATTACATTAGCTGCAGTCCTCCACGGTAATATAGTGTTGCTTGTTACCATACCTGAACGTAGTCGCCTTTGCTCATCTTGTAAAAACTAGCCTCAGCCAGTCCCTGAAAGAAATGGAATACCCATTCCAACCAACATGGAGTGTTGTGCCTGAGAAAGGTTGCCACTCTGCCTGCCAACACGCATACAAACGCTGAGAAAATCAAAGATATTCTCCAGGTTGATTTCTCACGTATTGTCCGATATCTCCCCAAGATCTGTTGGAAAAGAAATTGGTCATTGCTGAGACAGCCGCAGTCAATGTGCTCCAGCACTGGCAGGCTTTTTTCGTTAACGCACAACAGCAAGTACTGAGGAGTATTTCGTTGTCCTGGAGGTAACGCCACCTCCCCAGATTCAGCTGTGTCGTTAACCGGTGCTGACGGCCCTTTTCCTAGTTGAAAACTGTTCGGTTCAGGAATCTGAGGCGATGAGGTAAATTGGCCCCTCTCCGATCGAAGATGCGCGGGAGGAGGGGCAGAAACACCACTCTGAGAATCGTCACCTGCTGTTGCATCTTGATCTGTCATCGGATTGCTGGGGTTAAAAAGCCTGGCAAGTCCATCTTTCTCAAAGCCTTGCCGAAATCGCCGAATCCCACCCGGGCTAAGCTCTTTGACGTCTAGAAACATATGGTCGCCACATTCCTATAATACATTGTCAGTCTCGATTCGATCATGTGAGAAGTAACAAGGTGCATAACGAGAATCAGCCGCTCACGCAAATGTACCGAACTCTCAGATACCCCTGTTTTGGTGGAAGCCACTTATCGCAAAGCCAGGAGGATAATCTGTCTTTCCAGTAGACAATGTCGCAAAACCGTCCAATTGGATTAATCCTCACCACTGGCTCTGTCTCCTTCTGCCCTTGACTCCCTGTCTCATCCTGCATCTCTTCAACACCCTTGGGGAAAGGATGAAGAAACTCTCGAAACTCGGCTTCCAATTGTATGAGCGGTATTCCAGAAACGAAATAGCTTCTAGCATCATCAAGATCAACGAAAGAAAATCCTTCGCGATCACCTTCCTCATCATCACTATCCACAGAATTCTCATCCTCGCCCCCTTCATCAGCATCCAGCGATGTTTCCAGTTCTGCGACAAGCGCAGGTGTCTGAACATCCGAACGGACGTCTACTTTGTTAAGAAAGCGTTCCAGGATTAAGTACCGCTCGTTGTGTTGAGGAAGAGGCATAGAAACCATCTCTCTCCTCGTATCATTGATAATCTTTCGCGAGATAAGATCTCTGTGAGATCTTGGCCTAAGAAAGTCCACAGCTGCACCTTGTTTTTGGGTTGGAGCATGTAAGAGCAGCGAATCGTAGTATCTCCTGAGCAACCGTCTATGGTTCCGAACAAAACGTGCATCGCCTAAACCCTTACACGCTTCCTCATATAAGGGGCCGAGTCTGAGATCGCTGGTCAACATTTCGGCTAAGTAGTTCGCTGCAGCTTCTCTGACTTTCCAGCGAGTGGAGTGTGATTCATCTTGCGACTGGAGATCTTCAGGTCCCGACGCGAGGGACATGATGTCGTCCTTGATGTCATCACCACAACTTTCAATCTGTTTGTGACTGTAGAAAGATTGCAAAATCTGCTTTGTTGTGTAAGTCTCGACAATGACACTATGGTCTTCTTCAAGCGACGACGGCTTCGTAGAGACGGAAATCTTGCCAGATGCCTGACTAGATATCTGGCTGCCCCTACTGGAAGAGCTTTCGGTGAAGGCTGTTTGGGCGTTCTCGGGTTCAAGTGAGACGAAATCCGATTCGCCGAGGCGTTTGCGAATGTTGAGTTCAAACTCCCCCTTTGGCTGGCTGACGGCTACGATTTTGACATTATGAAGGCGAATGCCGGAAATAAAAAGCATCGTCGTTTCGATTAAGTCGCCCTGGTGGGCGCATTCGTCCAGACCATCGATTAGCAGAAATACATTTACCCCCTCGCGCAAAATCGTCTGCAGGCCCCTGGAAAGCGTGTCTGTTTCTGGCTGCTTCCGTCCGCTATCGTGTGCTGCGAAGATTCTATCAAGGACCTTCCTCGCTGCTTCCTGCTGCATGTAGAGCTGAAACGCAAGAGACCGATACATAGAGCTAGCACTTTGCTTGCTCGTGCTGTCGAACTTGAAGGACAAGCTGATCCAACTGGGATCATTCATCTGCAATATGTAATCATGAATTGTGTCGACAATCGCGGTATTCCCGCTTCCTGAATGCCCTCGAATCCACAAAAGCTGATTATCTTCATTTTTCCACCTGTTGAAAGCAGGGCTGTCCCGAAACCATGCATGAGTTCCGTTGTGTTGGATGGTTCCCGCATGGTTGAACTTGGAAGATGCGTTAGTGGGCGAAAGCCACTTTTTTACTAGTTCAACTTGGGCAGGCTTGATGTGATTTGGGACATTTTCCACTGAAGATAGTTAGTTGGGTAATACTCAAGGCTTATGTTCAGGACTTGCGAGAGCACCTACTGTCATACAGAACGTCTGTGATTATCCTTTCCGCCTTCATGTTGTTGAGCGGGATTTGGCGAAGAAGGTCGCTCGCATATGCAGCAGCCGCCATGGCAGCGTAACCTTGCCACTCCTTGGACTTGTGCGAGTCGGCGTAGTCGCATATTCCACGAATGACTAAACACGGGAAGTCATTCATGAGACCGGCTGCTCCCATCTCAAAACATAATATGTCCTCGTCTGCCGCAAGCCGATCCCGTGTAAGTGCGTCTCTCATAAGCTGGCTCGAAGAGCCGATTAGCCCGTAGTGAATCATTGGGCTGTCCCTGTATCTCTGTCGTTCATGGCGCAGCTCCAGATGCGATGTATTATTTCCACATGCTTCGCCGCAGGACTCGCCCGATTTCTCGGCGTGAATGATGTGCGATTTGTATAGCTTGTCGGCGCTTGGAGGCGGGCGTGAGTACTTTTTCTGGAGCTGCGGGGACCTCTCCAGACTCTCTTTGATGTTGCCGTCAAGCAGATGACCTTCGATCATGTTCGTAGCTTCGAGTTCACTGACCGTCATGTCGAGTGCTTTTGGCAGCTGATCTATGAAACCTGTCTGAACAAAGCTCTGTGCCAGCGTTGCCATGCGTAAGTCGTACTGAACGAAACCTCCTCTTCCACTGCGGGGACTACCGACGACAACGTCGCCAAGACGGATGTCATGCTTCAGACTTGGCGCACCGCCTCCAATGCCGACCATCAGGCTGAGCCGGATGTTGGGAAAGTGATGGAGCATGTCCCCCGCGACGACTGCAGCTGATGCCAGGCCGTACTCACCATCGGACAGTACGGCAATAGCGACATTATGTTTGCCCACTCTGCCCAATGCGTAGCCATGGTCGTTTTGAGAGATCGTACTGGGAAGTTCGTGTCTTTCATCAAGGAAGGCAAGAGCTGCTGTGAATTCTGTAGGGATGGCGCAGATCCATCCGACATGGTATATCAGCGGGTCCGACATTTTGGGACACGAGCGGAATACTCTCAAGAATACTGGTGAGGAGACCTAAGATTCGCGGTGAGAGTTTGAGCGGGGAAATGGTGAGACTTTAACAGAATAGGAAACCTGCAAATGCCTTGGACAGCAGCCTGACGCGGTAAGCTTGGAAAAGTGAGGCTGTGGCTGTCGTCAGACCTTGGGAGGCAATACTGGCGGTCTATTCGACCAATGTCATGCGTGTATGCACGTTGGGTCTGCTCCTTGTGACCGCTGGTAAGCCTGAGCTAACCACAATCGCTGAAGAGGTACCAAGGCCAGTTCCTGATAATCAATATGGGATTTCGTCGCAAGGCTCAAGCCCGGAGGAATTAGGGGTAGAGATGGAGCCATCAACGAAGAGTACAAATTGAAGAACTGCTCTTATATTCGAGATGGAACGTTTGTCAGGACCAGGGTCTTGGTGCTAATTCAAAGCGAGGTGTCGCAGTCGCAATCCGCGGAGCGCGATGATGTCTCGCGGTGCTGCATGAAGAGTTGAAGCAAGGGGTCTACCGTCTGCCGAGGCGCCCGCTCTCTGTTGGTTGCCAACATATGATTCAGTGAACGTACTCGCTGGAGGAAAAGTACGATGTTATACTTCCACCTCTATGCCAAAGGCAGGCCTCGGATAGTACAAGGCCGTTGTAAGACACACCTCGCCGTTCTGTCGAGAATAGTCATCGTCGCGAGGAGTGTGCCGGACTTGTACCTAGTCAAGAAAACCAACGCAAGCCAATGAGAAGTGAGGCAGATGGTATGCACCATACATGCAGCGAGTTTACAAGGTGGGATTGCGTTCTCATTTGCTCTCCTCAACGTGCAGACCCTAAACCAGAACAAGGACAGTGCATCCTCAGATCGGCTGTACTTCTTGAGGGGCAGACGTGAACGCAAGGAATCGTCATGTCAGGTTTGTATACCTTCAATTTTCAGGCGACTAGCAGACGTTGCCAAGACACCCAAAACGACATAGTAATCATCTGGCCATAGCCAGGACAATTTGCCAATGTGGCAGTGGTGCAAACTCCAGGCGCAAAATGCCTAGACCAAAGAGGCAAGGTCGGACAGAGCCGTCGCTAATGGCTTCCCGAAAGCTGCTGCGGCTGAATCGATCGTTCAGGGGTAATCTTTCGGCGTCAGCCCAATTGCTCGACGACTTTGTTTAAATCGTGAGTCTCGCCAAGAAAACACACGAACTCCATTGTCGTCGCTCCTTCATCCGACTCCGTGCACCTCCCGGACCACGGCCCCACCCGGCACCATGTCCGACTCCGGCACCTCCTCCGCGGACATTATCACCTACATCGGTGTGCCTCTAGCAGTGCTTGGCGTGCTGCCTATCCTCTACAATACCGTAGCAACTCTCGCCGCCCGCTCACGTATCCTGCGCATGCTCCGCCATGCCCGACTAACAGCACTCACCCGCCCAGACGTCGTGAACCGTGTAATCGAAGTTGATTTGCCGCGTTACGCCGTCACGCCGTGGGATCGCTTCGACAACCGTGAAGAGAACTGGTCTCTCGCGCGGCATCCGTCGTCTATCCCCGGCGGTAGCTGGGCGGTGTTCAACTGGCGCACCAATACCATTGGCCTCAAGACCCAGCGGGTGGAATACGCAGACCAGCTATGCCAGCCGCAGGTCGATGTCAGCTTCGACGAGTTGATATGCTATCTCCTTGATCTCGGTGCCGTCCCGGATCCTCACGGCTGGAGGTTACTACGAAGCACCGGTCTGTGGACTCCTGTTGGCTGCACTCTCATGAAGAGTCCCGACGACCAAGAGAAAGCCCTCGCGATTGCGTCCTTGAACGATTCAGATGGCCATCTGTCCCTCTCGCTAAGTTGGTCTTCCCACTGGACGACCAGGAGTCATGAATCCCTTCCCCCGTACTGGGTTCGCCTGCCACCCGCTCCGGTCATCGAGTCACACGAGATCTCGGAAGACACAATCACAGACCAAAGACGATGCTGTCGCTACCAAAAAGGCACCGTCCTACACCCCCTCGCTCGACTCCATCTCTCGCGCCGTCGCAACCAACGCGCACAAGCCCATAGCCTGTAAAATCTCCAGCCACGGCCTCATCAGCGCCATCCCGGAAGACGACGACCACCCGACCACCAGCCTCTACATCGAGCACATCCGCGTGCGCCCCGGTTCCTCCACGGGCGTGTGGTTCGCCAGCGCCGCCACAGCCTACGGCACCTCGAGCTCGACAATCCTGTGGAACTACCGCATTCCAGACGACATTCTCGCATTTGCCCGCGGCTCTTCCGTGCCATGCCGCGTGTTGGAGCTGCTAGGTATAGTCGACGACTCGCAGACGCCAGAATGGGCCTCGAAGCATGATGACTCGAGGCATCACCTTGACCTGATGAGCCGCCGCATGCGCGAGCAGCGCAATGCCATAGCAGCGGAGTCACGCATGAGCCGGGCCGACCGAGAACACGCCGCGCGGGACCGCATGTGCATGGAGAACGAGCAACGACTGGACGATCGTAAGTTGCCCTTGCCAGCCCTGTGAGCACCGCTAACAGCCTCTCAAGTCCGGGATCGCATGCGTCTCGACACGCAACGCCGGGAAACCCGTGCCCACGAGGCGATCCAGTCCCCGAAATGGGACGCCGCGCTTGTTGCGTCACACAACCTCCACTGGCTCCAGCAGCATGGCCTGGTCTCCTCGGACCCGATCAGCGGTTCCTTACGAGCCGTTGCCGCAGGGCTCCTGCATCGGATGATCCTGGATGGCGAGTTTGCCGGCGAGATGAGCAGGATGCTCGACCAATGGAAGGCGTGGGCCGAGAATGGCGGCTTGCGCAAGTCGGATCTCGAGGCGCTGCGGGAAAGCCTGAAGAGCTTTGCGCTGGCGAGCTTGCTGCTTGCGGTGATTAAGGACGTCGGGGCCGCCGCGGAGGGGTCGTTGAGCATGGACTTACAGGAATGTTTAAGGATGTGGCGGCAGGTAAGGCTGGGGTGATGCACTTGGAGAGGGTATGCAGAGGAAAAGCTATTTGAAAGTGAAGCAAGTCCATGAATCCTATCCCGCAAAGGTACCTTTACCGTAATGACCATTCCCTTTCCGACCCTCCAGTGCCATATAAGCCAACAATACAACTCCATCGCTCAAGCAAACCGCCCTACCCGCAAGTCACAAATAATTAATCTCTCAAAGTTCGTCATCCTGCTCCGAATCGTACACAATTTCTTCTCTCTCCTCCTCCATCAGCAAGCTGTCAGGCAACATCTGGCTCTTGGTCAGAAGCTGAGACGAGTCCAGCTGGATGGTCCCCAGCGGCAGACGGATGGGGCTGTCGTCCTCGTCATCGATGAATATCGGCATGCTGGAACCCGCTTGAGCCGGGCGCGGTACCGATCTGAGAGGTGACTGCGAAGGACTGGACGCCTGGCTTACGGTGGTCGCCTGGGAGGGTCGGATAGCACGTCGAGGCGTAGGGTTCGGTGGCCGGCTAATGGGCGTCGGAGGGAGTGCAGGCTTGGGAAAGAGCTCGGTGCCAAAAGCCCTCCGGCTACGGGTCGGCGTCTGGCTCGCCGGTACCAGGATATCTGCCTCGGATGAATGTACGTTCGAGTGCTCGATGTCGCTTCGGATCTGCTCCGCCAGCTCCTGAGACACTGTGAGATCGGCTGACGTCCGGGATGTCTCCCTTCTGCCAATCTCTGGCTGGGAAACAATCTCTTCATCTTCTTGCGTCTCTTCATCGTCGCCGCCAAACAGCGAGCACCGCAGGTTGGCCATCAGATGACCAACGACTGCTGGCGGGACAAAGTTGTACTTTTGCGGCGGCCCGTGGAGCCATCCTTGCTCTTGCATCTCGTGCAGCGAGACTGGATCGTTCAGTTCGTACACTTCATGCAACTGGTACGCGAACTTGGCGCCAGGCAACTTGCGCTGGTTGAACTCTGCGTTGCCGATGCCGTCACCGTCAATCTCGCCAGGCGCCTTTGCCTCACCAATGCAAGCCATGTACCTCAATTCGGCAACCGGCTTGGTGATGTACAACCACATGCGCGAGACGGTGCCTGATATCTTGTAGGCGCGGAATTCATGGTTTTTGGTGCCCGCTACAATGTTGTCCATGTGTTCTGGGTGTATTGAGATGAAGATGTCAGATCTGTCCGTCTGGGGTGCCATGGAGCGGATTGTGTCCAGAGAGATTCGCTGACTCTCGAGACCTTGTGTATGCGGGGTCTTTGGTGTCTCCTCCGGAGCTTTGCCCGTCTTCTTGGCCTTGGGCGTCTTTTGGCTTCTGGTTGGGGTCTCACAGATGGACTCTTCGACCGTCTCGTCAGATGCTTTGGGGACACTGGAGCCACTGCTCCGGGTGGGCTCCGGTGAAGAAGTAATGACTTCCACTGTATCCCTGCGATCCGACTCCGCCGAGTTCGTATGGTGCAGCTTTGGTAGAACGAATGGCTTAGATAGGATCACCGTAGCTTCCTCCTCTTCCTCGCTGGCAGCAGGGGTGACGTTTTCCTTATCCGAGTCACCTTCCTCTGCAGGGGAGAGTTCCCTGGTGGCTTCCTTTTCTGACGAGGTGAGAAGCTCATCCATTTGGAACTGGGTTTCTTCGCCGACCGCATCGTACCCCTCGGCCTCCTCGTCCAAGATGTCCAGCGCATCCGACTCATCCTCGGAATCCGCAATCTCACGCAGAGGTGATCTAGGCGGCCTTCGAGGGGATGGACTGGCCTCACGCGCGTTCTCTTCATTCTCCTCATCTTCCGTCTCTTCCTCTTCCACAGGTACCAGACTGGCCGTGGGATGTGGCGTGATGAAGCGGACGTTCTTGGCAGGTTGTAGTGGCCGGCGGGGAGACGACCGCTGACTTGGGCTCTGGCTGCCGACTGTCGCGTATGAGTCTTGAATCTCGAGAGTCCGCGGGCGTTTCACAGATCCTGTGAGTTTGATGGGCGTATTGGTATTTGTAGACTTGTCCTTCAAGGGAGACCTCTTCGGGGCCGGGCTGTACCTAGCCAGCATCGGTGTAAGCGGGCTGCCTTGCGATGAAGGAATCTCGAGAACAGTCCGCTTGTTGGTTGGGGTCTGCGGCACGACGGATGGCTGCCTGCTCGTAGGTTTCTTTACAGGGAGAACGTTCTCCTTGTCGTTCGCTGAAGGGAGGACCGGCTTGTCAACCTCGTCGTCGGACGGCTGGAACTGCCAAATGTCTTCCTCCTCTTCGGGCGATTTCTCCGACGACCTCCGCGGCATTTGCGTCAATGTCTGCGTGTGGAAAGACGAACTCGGGGTTGGCTCATCCCCCATCGTCTTTCTCCTCTTCTTCTTGGGCGCGGGCTCTTCCTCGTCATCTGACAGGTCGAGATGCACAGGCGAGGAGCGCGTAGACTCGTACATCTGGGTCAACGTCTTTTGCTTGTGGCTGGTGACTCGCGCGGTTGGCTTGCGGGCGCTGTAGGTGCGGACTTCGGTCTTTCGATGGGGGAGCTTGGCCTGCTTGAGTGGTTTGCTGGACTTGTAGACTCGGTCGGGAGGGGCAGCAGGGGCCCGGCCGCCGGAGCGAGTTTGCGCTGGCATATTGGACGTGGTCGTCACGAAACGGCGAATCTACGCCGGATAGTCAATCGTTCGTGTATATTCGACAAGTTCTTGGGTGCGCAGGAGATGTCAGCCTGCGATGTGCATGCCGACTAGTCCCTGTGCGGCGTTGAGGTCGCGTCGCGTGTGGGTGGAATCGCTTTACGCGTGGTGGCGTGTGGGAGTGACATCACATGCAAATAGCGGGGCACTGAGCCGGGGTCCTCCAGTAGGTGCATCACGACGGCGACATCACACTTTTGATTTGATACATCATGAGACGAATTGACTTTATTTCATTCGATATTCGGCATGATGAACTAAGGCTCATTGATTGGAGGGGTATTAATTATTTGGAATTTATAGTCTATGTGCCGCATCTGCAAACGGGCGCAGCTCATCCCCTCCTCCACAGCGATGTCGATCTTGTAGCCAGCGGTCGCATCTCCCAGAGAGAACGACTTGAATCAGACATGCCCAAGAGTGTTGATTGTCAGACCATTTAGGTCTGATTGATACTTGATCATCATTTCGTCATGTAGGTCATCATCTCATAATCCCATTAGTTCCTAGGCCGAGCCTTTCTCAAGACCACCCTCATGTTTGCGCAGCTCCAGACTGGCTCATGAAGGCAGCCTTTTATCCTTTCATTGAATGAGCGTGTCTCCTAGACCAGAGTCATGGATTTGTTGTTTTTTGGTGAGCTCTGTATTGTGTTGATGAGTCGTGAGACCGGTCCTTGGGAAACCTTTCGTGGACTCGTGCATCGTGATTCGTAAGTTGTAAGTCATAAATCGTGAGTCGTGAATCATAAGTCGTAAATTAGAGATCGTAAATCATAAGTCGTAAACCATAGAACACAGGCCGTGAATCGTCAAGTCGTGTACCGTCAAGGTAGTGTTGTTTTAAGGTGTAGTTTTTAAAGAAGTGAGTTTGTTTTATGGTTATGGAATGTGTACCCTTGTGGCTGTACGTTCTTGTCAGAGGAGATTCATGGAGAATCCTCAGGTCGACTGAGTCTCGGATGCCCATCATATTGCAGGGGCCGGCCGGAGTTGCGCACCTTCGCGGTGTTAGTGAATTGAAGACATCTAGTCACTACCCAATGTCTGCTTACCACTGATACGGCGCAGAAGACGTCTTAACTTGGATTCCGTCTTCGTCGAGGCGTCAGAAGCGACTGGTGCTACTGCAGCCTTGGCCATCGCTCTGTAGTGAGCCTCGACATAGTCATTAACAAAGTCTTCGAGGTCGACATCGTTGATAGAAAGGTCGCAAATGTGTTGTATGTAGTAGCGATCCTTGGCCTCGCGTCTAAGCTCTATGAGCTGGGCGCTAGAGAGAAGTTCAGAACGGGGAACAGAAAATTCAGACATCTTGTTGATGTTAACGAAGCTTGGCAAGGTAGTCATGTGAAGTGAAGAAGCGGAAGTCAGAAAATGTTGAAATCAAGAAATTCGTGTACGGATGATGAAGAGAATGAAGAGCTGGGACGGAGGATCAGGGACAAATCGCAGTATTATATACCATCCAAAGCTGGCCGGACATGGACTCACTTTACACTGACTTTCTCACTGACAGCGGCACACTGACAGTTGCTGAAAGTGTATGCATACCCGATACAACTTGAGGACCGAGATGGTGTGGTTAGACCTCACGGTATGTATGGGGAAGTCCTCGGTGTTCCTCAGCGTCAAAGCAACATCCAGCCCGTCAAAGTGTCCGTAAGAGAGGCATCAGCCAAAAAGGTGGAATGGAGCGCAGCAAGGTAAAAATTGAAAGAAAAAAAGAAGAAGAATAACGAACAAAAAAGAAACAACTTTACTCTCTCGCCTAGTCAGTAGCAAAAGACAATTGAGATAAAAGTTCAACAGCTTAGGTTAAAAGTTCTACCTGACTGGGCCTGATTCCCGAGTGCATTGACGCTCCGAAACCACAGTTGTGAGACCAATTGACCAGACGAAGCTTCAACTGATGACCTTGAGAAGCAGGATTGCCTTTTCCCGTATGCGACCAACCGGCTGATCGAACGACACTGTAACCTCTTTGCATGTCACAAAATGAAAGGTTAGCCATGAGATTTCACACGCACACATGAACAGTGCAACGCGAAATGGTTGTACAAAAGGACTCTAGCGCGGTTAGTTATATACACATCAGGACCTTCTGATTTATTTCTTAGGCTCCTCCTTCTTCTCCTCCGGCTTCGGTGTGGGCAGCTTAAAGCTATCCGGGCGTCTATCCGTGCCGGCTCCGACCTGCTCCCACGCGCTAGTGCCGCCCTCAAAGTTGCGGAACGCCTGGGTGAGCTCGAGAGGCTCAGTAACAATGCGCTTCTTCTCCTCGTCGTATCTAATCTCGGTGTAACCGGTGAGGGGGAAGTCCTTTCGCAGAGGGTGGCCCTCGAAACCGTAGTCGGTCATGATTCTGCGGAGATCGGGGTGGTCGGTGAAGTAGACACCAAACAGGTCGTAAACCTCACGCTCGTACCAGTTGGCACCGTCGAAGAGAGGCGTGACACTGGGGACGGGGGAGGCCTCGTCGGCGTAGGTCTTGACACGGATGCGGGCGTTGTGGCGGACACTGAGGAGGTTGTAGACGACCTCGAAGCGCTGGTCTCGGGTCGGGTAGTCGGCAGCGGTGATGTCGCTGATCTGGGTGAACTCGGCCGAGGTGTTGTCTGTGTCGTGTTAGCAGTGACCCGCAACGCCACCTCCAATTGGTACTTACACTTCAGGAACGAGAAGAGGGGGATAATTCCCGAGGGAGAGACGTAGATGGTGAGCTCGTCCTTCCAGACGGAGATCTGCTGGACGTACTTGGGCAGGCAGCCCATGATCCAGGACCCGTACTTGTGCATGTTCTCAGCCTTGGAGCCGTACTTGTCGGCAGGGTTGACGAGGGGGGCCTTGAGGGTGCCAATGTGCTCGCGAGGAGACTTCCTGACGTCCGCGACGTCGGGCTGGCCGGTCGGGAAGCCGGCCAATTGAGGGATCGAGGTCGAGAAGCATCGAATCTCGGTAGGGCGGCAGTTGCGCAAGCCTGCCAGAGCCCTGCTACGGTATAGCCTCGTCGCCATTGTCGCGGTTCTTGCAATGCTGGGGGCTTCGATGCCTCTGTGGGAGTTGGTTGATGATACTGTGCTTCGGCGATGCTTGGGGATTGAAAGAAGCTAGCCGGATTAGGCACACCCGGGGTGGGGTTAGCCCGCAGTTTGCTTCACCAGACTCTCACTGTACCTGACATGCCTCGAAGGACTTTTTTTTTTTCCAACAACAAACGCAGACCCTCGAAAAGACTTTACCTTTTCACAAATTCAAAAAACAGCAACCACCTTGTGAATTTGTTCTTTCAGAAATTTTCCCACAACACTATCCTACCCTTTCCACACCTTCATCCTCCATTCTACCATCACTTACTGCCGCTATCCACGGACAGGGTGTGCCTAGCAGCTGCTGACTCGCCTCATTCAGAGTGTTGTCATTGGCTCCAGGCGCCTCCAGAATCACGTGAGACTGCCTCACGTCGACCGGCTTACCTAAGGTACTAGCGCAGCAGGCGACCCATCCGAGAAAGGCTTTGGCTTCATCCATATTGAACAACTTCCCTCTCCTGACTACCTCCACTCACAAATCGACGACTACCCTCCCGCAACACATCATTACCCCCCGCAGACTGTCACCATGGCGCCCCAAGACACATTCTTCGACGAGGAGGAAGATACCTGGTATGTCGACGCCTGCCGTCATTGCGCGCCGTTCGCGATGGCCGCACGCCTGCAGTTGGGCACCACGAACTAACTTGCCTCCCAGCCCGCTATGCATCGAGGAGTTCGACCTGTCAGATCGGAATTTCCGACCATGCCCATGCGGCTACCAGGTATGCCGGCCGATTCCCCGATGCTACAAATTTTTTTTTTCCATCGTCGAAGGCCGATCTCTGACAGTTTCATAGGTGTGCCAGTTTTGCTTCAACAACATCAAGAACAACATGAATGGCCTGTGTCCCGCGTGCCGCAGACCTTACGATGAGAAGACGATAGAGTGGAAGGTCGTCACCCAAGAAGAGTGCGTTCCTTCCCCACCCTGCCTAGCGACGCCACGCTGACAGCCAATTTTTAGGGTCGCCCAGTTCAGAGCCAACATCCAAAAGAATCAGAAGAAGCGAGCTCAAGAACAAAGACAGAAGGAGGTCCAAAAACGCGAGGCCGAAAAGGAAAACCGCAAGAACCTCGTCGGCGTGCGGGTCGTTCAGAAGAACCTGGTTTACGTGACCGGTCTGACACCTACAGTGCGAGAGGACGAGCTGCTCAAGACGCTGCGCAAGCCCGAATTCTTTGGCCAGTACGGCAACATTCAGAAGATTTCGATCAGCAACCGAAAGAGCCAGGACGGCCAAAACCAATCACTCGGCATTTACGTGACGTTCGAGAAGAAGGAGGACGCACAACGGTGCATCCAGGCCGTCAACGGATCCCAGAACGGCGACCGTGTGCTTAGAGCTCAGCTCGGTACGACCAAGTACTGCTCCGCCTGGCTGCGACACGAGCAGTGCACAAACAGACAATGCATGTTCCTGCACGAGCTCGGCGACGAGGAGGACAGCTACACTCGACAGGACCTGTCATCGATGAACAGCATCAGCTCGCAAACGCAGCGGCCCCTGGCTAGTGGATCATCAAACAGCGGTGGAAACAGCGGTGGCGGTCCCTCACGGTCTGCTTCTCGACAGCAAAACACCCCCGCTCCCACTATGTCGCAACCCATGGCACGCTCGTCGAGTAAAGAGGGATCCGAAAACGGCGGTGATGGCTCGGCGCTTCCCTCGTCGGCCAACTGGGCCAGGAATCCTCAGCGTAGTCGCAGAGGAAGCCACGCCACGAGCGGTGCTGCCTCCAGCCCCGCCATCTCGACATCGCTCCCCGCAACCGCCGAGGCCGTGCCCGAGGCCATTGATGAGACGCCGTCAAGAAAGGAGACTCCCGCACCCCCGACCGAGAGCAAGGCACCAATGGTGGCGCCCAAGGCTGAGATTAAGAAGCCAAACAGCCTTCCCGAGACTGTGCTCAAGACGCTTCTCATGGCCATGCAAGGATGCCCGTTCACCTACCACGCCCCCGACACAAATTCACTCGAGACGATTTACCCGCCCATGTTCGATCTTCGTGGTGGCGAGAAGCGCCGAGCAATGCGCGAGGAGGAGGAGTCGCGCCTCGGTGTTGAGGAGCAGCAGAGCGAGGCGCAGGAGCCTTCTGAGGGCGAGCCAGAGACCGGCGGTAGTCTCGCCCTCGGCGGCGAGCCTGAAGACCGTGATGTCAGCAGAGAGGTGGCATTTGAGCAGCGCAGACCCGGCACGCAGCCTCCCATCCAGCGCACCAACACCGACGGCCTGTTTGGTCCCGCGCTCGGCTCGGCTTTCGGCAAGGCCTCTGTCACTTCTGGTTCTGTTGCCGGCAGCCGATCTATGACCCCCCAGCAGCAGCTCTTCATCCGCTCGCAGAACGGCTTTGGCGATCACCTGCCGCCTGGTATCGCTACCGTCCAGCCTTCGGTGCAGCAACAGCAGCAGCAGCAAGGAGGCAACGGCCACAACAGACAGGGGTCGAGGTTCAGCTTTGCTAACGACAGCGCGGGCACCTCCGCTTCGGTCAAGGTGGCCGCCAACCCTCGCATCATGGCGCAGCAGACGGCCATGATGCCTTCGACATTCCAGACACAGCCCGGCAGCCAGTACTATGCGTCGTCCATGCCCGGCCCTCCTCCGGGCCTCAAGTCGACGGGCACCCCGCCAAGCATGTTTGGACAGGGCCACTCGTTCGGTGGCAGTTTCAATCAGTCCAAGGATTCTGCCGAGCTTCTTCAGACATTGATCCGGGGCCGAGGAGCCAATGGTCAGGGCCATGATGCTGGTAAGCGTGAGTACATGTTATCTTCTTTTTCTAATCAGTACCCATCCTCTACCTCCTCCACCCCAGCTCCTGCTTCGGGCCTCCTGGCGTCGCTCTACGGTAACCAGCCTGGAGCATTCCAAGACTTCGGTCCCAAGCAGAAGAAGAAGGGGAAGAAGCACAGACATGCTAACACTTCCTCCTCTGGGGGAGGTGGCTTAGTTGATCTTGCGGACCCGAGTATCCTGCAAGCGAGAATGCAACACCAGTCGCAGAGCAACGCCGGAGTCGGACAGGGACTGTTCGGTGGTCAGAGCCAAGGTGGGTACAACCCGAATATGATGTACAATACGCGCTTCCCTGGCGCCGGCTGGTGAAGCCGGGAGGGAGCGCGATAGATCTGGGGCGGTGTTGGTCGTTCAAGGGATTTTTGTTTTACACATTCATGTATCATGAGAGGGAGGGCGTCGCGGCACATCAGCGGACGATCTTCGTCGAGGGACCGGGAACAACCGCACATTACACGCATTGATTCAGCGAGCATTGCGGAAAAAAACATCAGGGCCGCTCAGGGGAGTGGCAAGGGTTGCATTTGGCGTCGTCTCGCGTTTAGGGGCTGGACCGACACCTACAATCGCCCCGACATTATACCTCTTTTCTTTTGGACTCGCATGTCATGGTTTATGGGGTCACGACAGTCAGGCAAGCCATCATCGTCTTCCAATCGCCTAATGTACGTTAACTTGCAGCCCATCCTCCGGCGACGAGGATGGGAGGTGGCTAAAGGACAAATACTATATCTTGCGCACATATTTCGCTCTCCACCCGCAGATCGCTAAGAAGACGATGATGGCAGCCGTGACTTGACCTCCCGCATGTACATATGTGTTTCCCGTTTTTGCGGCTTTTTTACTTTTGCGACCTTCATGGCTCTAGGGAACCTTGGCTAACTGGTTCCCTAGATGACGAGCTGCTTTCACTCGACGAAGCCACCTTTTCCGTCGACGCGCTGGTGTCAGATGACCCCATGCCACCTTACGGAGGGCTCTCAAGGCCCACGGTACCGACGCCTCCAGGTCTCGGGACTCCCGCAAGGTTGGCGTCGCCGGCGCCACGGCAGGCACCGATTCCTGCCGTTCCTCTTACGCCAGGCGCTCCCAAGGCCACGCCCACGATGGCCAACGTCGTTCGGGCAGCCACACCCGACGTCACGCCTCGCAAGAATGCCCCTGGATCAGAGGCCAAGAAGAACATCAAGGCCCTGGCCGTCGAGAGTGGACTGTCAAAGGACATTGCCTCTCAGGGTTCCCCGTCCAAGGGCAAGACTGTTCTCCAGGAGGAAGACTTTCCCGCTCTGGATGCCATCAAGGCGAGCGCTGCTAAGGCCAACGCTCAACGACCCGGCACGCCGGCCAAGTCTGTCGTCTCGACTCCCAAGATCGCCCCAGCGAGCATCAAGAAGCCCCAGGCAGAGCCTCCTGCTCCTGTTGCAGAGCCTCCCACTCCGACTCCCAAGACGGCAGAGAAGAAGCCAGTGCCGGGCATCTTGAACATTGCCGCCGCCACAAAGGTTGCCCAGACCAAGCCCACAGAGTCTGCAAAGTCTGCATCGACGGAGCAAGACTCGTCTGCATTCCCAGCCCTGCCAACCCCCACGACAGCCGTCGCTTCGCCCATCACGAGAACCGCACCCAAGACGTTGCGAGTCGTTCCTACACCCAAGACCGAAGTTCCACCCCCCCTGGTTTCCGGTGCGATCTCCGCCGCCGCCAGAGCCGTTTCCACCGCCTCTGGTCGGCCCGGAACCCCTGCGAGCGAGGCCATCAGTGACAGCGCATCCATCGTGTCCACGTCCGTCTCCGTATCTCGAACCAGCTCGCCCCCTCCGTCCAGAGTCGGTGCTGCTCCTGTGCGTACAGCTACGAAAAGCCAACAGCGCAAACAACGCAAGGAGGCTCACAAGGAGCAGTCCGCGGCCGTCGCCGAGGCGGCCAAGCAAGCGGAGCCCGAGGAAATCGCGCCCATTCTCGGCCGCAAGAAGAAGCAGAAGAAGGAGAAGCCGGTCAACACGACTGCTGCCGCCAAGAAGGCTGCGGAGCGTGCCGCCAACCCCCCGGCGCCCCCTAAGAAGGAGGAGCCTCCCGTCCCCAAGCCTCCCATCGAGCGGACGGTCGTGGACCTGCCTCCTCCCAAGGGCAAGGCCGCCAAAGCCGCCCTCAAGATTGCCAAGGCTGCAGAGGAGAAGGGCAAGGCCAAGGAAGCTGCTGCTGTTGCCGTCGCTTCGCCAGCCACACCCCCTGCAACTGCCGCGCCAGAGGAGTCCCAGGACATGGCTGAGAACCCCAAGACCATCCCCGAGGTTGTCTATGACGACCTTGTCAGCAGCGGTGAAGCTCCTCCCGAGGAGATTCTCAGTCTGCTGAGACCCTTTGTTGAGCAGAACATCCGTCTCGACCGCGCGCACGCAGCCCAAGGGACCAACCCGCCCCCTTCCACAACAACAAAGGGTATCGTGAACGACGCAGACCACGCCGTGCTCCTGTCTGGGCAGCCGGTGCGCAAGGTGATTGAGGGTCAGCGCGTGCTCATCACTCCCAATGGCGACTGCGTCCGCAACCTCACCGAAGAAGAGGAGGAGAAGTACCTCGAGCTCCAGAAGAGCATTGCTGAGACCAGCGATCAGCCTGACAGCTTCGTCGCGCCCCGCCACCAGACTCGTCCTGGCGGCTTCTCCCTCATCAAGGGCCGCGCGGTGCCCAACGGAGCGCCGTCTTACTTCCCGCCTCCTCCCACCTCCCACAAGATGTTCTCTGACGACCCCGTGAACAAGATCCAGCGCGAGGAAGCCATCAGCTACATCAACCAGTACGTCCTGCCTCGCCTCAACCTCGGCAACACCAACCTGTTCCCCGGCAGCTGGAAGTCGGCCCCGGGTGCCAAGGACGCTCTCTCTGCGCGCGAGACCGCCGCCCAGAGCCTGAACTCGCTGGCCCCGTACATTTACGGACACGACGCTGCCGCCGGCGCGGGCATCTACTCTGCTGAGAGTGGCGGCTCCGGCAAGGACATTCCCGAGGACGAGACGCCGTTCGGAGGCCTCGACTCCCCGCACCACGCCGTCGCCCCCATGCCCAACATCTCCGTGTCCGCTGCCTCTGCATCTGCCGCTGCCGCCGCCGCCGCGCAGGCCCACGCTCAGCACAGCTCTCACCCCAAGCTCCCCGGCACCCCCCTCAACAGCATGACTCTAATGAGCGTTGAGGATGCCGAGGCCGCCCTCGCCCTGGCGCGCAAGGAGACCGAGAAGCTGGAGAAGAACCTCAACCAGGCCATCAAGCGCAACCGCAGAATCCTGCTCGGAAGCAGATGACTAGCCGTAGAGCTGATGGGAGTTGTGGAAAGGATTGTTTTGGCCGTGACGATTCAGACCCTCATGCTGGGGGTTGGAGTCGTTGGAACCGTGGTGGACATGTTGGCAGGTGCCAGACGAGCGATGTGGTGATTCGACCACGTTAGCACATCCTGCCTTCGTAAGGAAGCGATGGAACGAAGCAGATACGGGGAATTTGGCCCCAACGTTTGTAACGATTTTGTGTATGACTTTTGCTGTCGGCATTGACACCGTAGCGTTTGTACAAAGATTTGTATTCTATTGGGAGGCTTGGACAGCCCTGGGTTTGGGTTCGTCTTGGCCTCAGATGAGGCAGCGTGGGGCAGCATGGCTCCACCGAATTCATAAACTTAATGATAGTATCGATACCCTTAGAGATGACGGTTACGTGATGTACTTCGCCTGGACGTATGAGCTTGAGTGATGTATTAGTTGGACAACCAAGAGCTTATAGTGGAGCCTATTTACATGACACGGCATCAGCAGTGTTTAATCAGAGTTGATTGAGTATGTGCAAAGAGTGGAATGGGTATCACGATTCGAATCTGTCCTCCAGCCATCTTGTGATGACTTCTTGACCACGCTCCCCCAGCTGCAAGTACTCGTTGTCCCCGACGTCCACCAGCTTGACCCGCCGTTCGGCTTCGGTCTCGGCGTCAAAGTCCTCATCCCACTGCAATCGCGACTTGAACTCCAACTTTTCCAAGCTTTTCCTCATCAGCGAGGCCAACTCCGACGCCTGGGCTTCGAACGTGTGTCCCGCGGCCCTGCGCTTCCCCCTCTTCGTTGTCTGCAGAGGCGGGCTATCGTGAAGCAACAACGACGCCGGCAGCTTCAGCGTAGACTTTCTTGGCGGAAACATGAGCGCGCTCCGCCTCGGTGCCGTGAACGCACTGCCTGTCGCGGCCAGAAGATCACTGACACTCCCGCCAGACGTCAAAGACGACATGCGATTCAACATCTCCGTCATCACCGCTGCCTGCGTGAATGTAGACGGCGGAAGCATCCCCGAGGTCTGGAAGAAGAGACTCGGGCTCGCAAAATTGTCAAACAGGTCCGCGGGTTTCCTGAACAGATCGGTCATCTCCATCTGCAGGGCATGCAACGCCGAGCCCTCCTTCGGCCGCGAGGGAAGCTTGCGGCCCCGCGGGGTTGCGGGTTTGTTGATGCGGTGGTCTGGGAGGAACATGGACCAGTTGTAGATGCCGTTCCAGGCGACCAGACCGCGGACGGCCATGCGTTCGTGGTGGTGAGACTCGGTCAGGGCGAGGGAGGCGGCGAGACTGGCGCCGGCGTGGGAGCTGTAGACGTAGAGGTCCCGGCGGGCGGTGTGCTCCGGACGGAGGTTCTCGGTGATCCAGGTGTAGCCGGCCAGGACGTCATGGATGGGCGTGGGCCACTGCAGGGGCGTGGTGAAGCTGGGCTCCCCCGATGCGTCCGGGGGAGTGGAGTCCGGACCGGACCATCGGTAGTTGATGACGGCCGTCGGGTATGGGTGAAGAAACCCGGGGACGGACGGGTGAGTGCCCGGGAGTGGCGAGTGTGGTGGTATGTATATGATCAGAGGGGCTGAAGAGGATTGCCGCAAGACATTGTGAAGGCTGGGCTTGTCAGACACGATCTTGAGCTTTGTAGAGAGACATACTCTACTGTGATGCTGCCAGACGAGCCGATCGGCACCTCGACAGAGTCGTCAAGGGTTTGCTCGGAGTGGAAGCATCGCCGTTGAACACGCGGGAGACGACACGGCAGCCACAGTGTTGGCCATCTTCTCATTGTCTAAAAATAAGAGCCGGCGTGGGATCAGAGACCCAAATTCCTCATTCCATATCGACAGGCCTGAAATCGATTCACCAACAATGGATGCAAGATGTAGGTAGACGAGGCGCTCGCCAGCACACCCTGACGCGTTTTTGCGACCCCCTGACAGCGAGCGGCCTGGCCAGCCAGTGGCCATTCCGTTCTTGTGTGCTGCACTGCCGCAGCCCCCCACATCCCCGCCGTCGCTCTCGCCAAGGGTCCCCCGTGGCCCTCATTAGCGCGCTCAAGCAAACCGCTAAGACGCTGTAGAGGGCAGCGCGTGGCATCTCCGGCGGCCAAGCAACGCGCGCTATTCATTCGTACACGACTGGAGCAGCAATCATGAGCTCGTTTCTGCAAGCATGGGTAACCTGATCATCCATTCCTCACGAGTTTGGCAGAGTCTGGGGGGAAAGATACATATAAAGGATGCTCGCCAAGCGCGGTCACACACTCGACGACTTGATGTTGATACAGGTCTGCGCTCGCACCCGACTCCACGTCCCCGATCATCGAATCCGTCTAGCCCCGTGTTCGCTAAGAAAGCCCCGGCCGTCTTAACCTAGGAGGCGGGCATCTGAGCTGCACACCCTCACGTCCACCAGCCGACGTCATCGCCGAAGCGCGTTGTACCACCATCTTCCCTCGAGGGGAACCCGGGTACGTCGGGTCTAGAGGTCCGGCCGGGCCAAGACCTTGATTTTGAGGTCGAGTGACGCCTCTCCTTTTTCGAAGCACCATCCCTTGGATTTGTATGTCTTTTTATTCTGGGCAGCATTGCTCTGGACGATCTTGCCGTCGTTTCTGCTCAGAAGCGGTTTTTGGACCACATTCGGGAATGCCTTCGTTTTGGTGGTTCCGCCGCTTTGAACACGCTTACTTTGGCCACAAACCTCTCCGCAAGCCGGCACCATGAACGACGCCGATCTGGGGGATAACATCGAGCAGCGCGTGGCTCAGTCGGAGCAGGCCAAGGCTCAACGAGACAAGCGCTTCCAGAATGACGCTGCCCACTTGGATCCGAGGTAAGTGTCCATCGTACATGGGCTTGTCATCACAGTATTTGTTCCGTCGCTGACCTGCCTAGCCGATGGTGGTTCGCGTCCTCCGCGTTCCCCATGATTGCCGGCACCCTTGGCCCCGTTGCATCGGCGTTCAGTATATGCGCTCTCGTTCGCCCTTGGCGGCAGCACTTCCCGCCAGGAACCGATATAGATGCCGCTACCTTTGTCCCGGATCCAAAATGGTTGGTCTCGTCTTCAATGCTTCAGGAGTTTTCTAACACGACCAGGCTCATCATCGTCAACGCCATCCAACTGGCCATTGCCATCGTCTCGAATGTATTCCTCCTGCTGAACATGGCCCGCCGGGTCCGCTTCTCCCTGGCCCAGCCCATCACCATTGTGGGCTGGTATCTCTCCGCAATCTGCCTCATCGCCCTCAACGCCACTGCCTCGGGACCACTCGTTATTGAACCGCGAGAGGAGTACATCAACTCCCAGGCCTTCTACTATGGCATGTTCGCAGCCATTCTCTACTTCGTCACCGCCTCCCTTATGGTCGTAACCGTCTACGGCGCTTACACCCGCCACTACGCAGAGGACTTTCAACTCACCACGGCGCAGCGTACCCTCATGCTGCAGACGATCCTCTTCCTCCTCTACCTGCTGCTCGGCGCGCTCGTGTTCTCCACCATCGAAGACTGGCCTTACCTCGATGCTGTCTACTGGGCCGACGTGACGCTCTTCACAGTCGGTTTCGGCGACTTTGCGGCCGCCTCACCCCTGGGCAGGGCTCTGCTCATCCCCTACGCCCTCATCGGAGTCATCAGCCTCGGTCTGGTCATCGGCTCCATCCGGAGCTTGGTTCTCGAACGCGGCCGCCGCAGACTGGATGCGCGCATGGTCGAGAAGAAGCGCCGGCAGCTGATCCGCACAATGACCCGCAAAGGGAAGGACGACATCCTCAAGCCCATCCCGTCCAACGTCGAGTCTCCCATCTCGGATGCTTCGCCCCTGCCGGCCACCGAGTTCGAGCGCCGCCAGGAAGAGTTCAACCTCATGCGCAAGATCCAAGATTCTGCTTCTGTCCGTCGCCGCTGGATGGCCATGTCCATCTCCTTTTCGTCCTGGCTCATCCTCTGGCTCGTCGGCGCCAAAATCTTCCAGGAGTGCGAACGCCCCTACCAGAACTGGTCCTACTTTGAGGGCTTCTACTTTGCCTTTGTCACGCTGACCACCATCGGTTACGGAGACCGCACCCCTGTCTCTAATTCGGGCAAGGCGTTCTTCGTCTTTTGGTCGCTTCTGGCGCTGCCGACAATGACGGTCATGATTTCGAATGCAGGAGACACCGTCGTCAAGGCCGTCCGCGACGCTACGCTCGAGCTCGGAAACGTTACCATTCTGCCGGGAGAACGGGGCTTCCGCAAGGAGCTCCTCGCTCTGCTCGACCGATGGACTTGCGGCGTGATATTCAAAGGGCCGCTCATGGACGAGGAAGACGAGCTGCCCCCGGGCTTTCTTGGAAATGCCCACCGGATGGAGCAGGGCAGCTCCGAGGAGGACGACAACGACACGGACGCCTACTCCTCCGTCCCCGATCCCACCTCAGGCCGACAGCAGTCCCGCGGTCGCGACCCCACGGCACCGCTGCCGTCCTCTCGCGCCGAGTACCACTTCCTGCTCATCTCGGAGATAGCCGCCGTCCGCCAGCATTCCAAACAGAAGCCCGCGAAAAAGTACTCGTTCGCCGAGTGGGCGTGGTACCTGAAGCTGATTGGGGAGGACGAGAGCAGCTCGGCCACGCACCGCAAGGCTCGCCCGCACATCCACTCCAAGAAGAAGAAGAGGAGCAGACGGAGGAAAGTGCGCGATGAGGATATGGAGTGCCCTGACGAAGACAAGTGGTCGTGGGTCGGGTCGCAGTCGCCGCTGATGGGGAGCTTGGAGGAGTGCGAGTGGATTATCGAGAAGTTGACGGAGAAGTTGCGGGACGAGCTTGATGTTGTCCGTGGCGAGAGCAGCAGCAGCGACGTGCGAGGGGAGAAGGACGCCGGGGATGAGATTATGTAGTTTTGCGAATGATACCCAACGATGTTTCTGTACCCTCCGTATTCCTGCCACAACCTGATATCGACCATTCACTGCACCAAGTCAAAGACTGCCTCGTTTTCAGAA